GGAGAGTTAATACTTAAGCTCCAGGATGGATCAGTTTCATCATAATCAGAACATGTATCATCCAAACATCCAAATCCATCCTGGAATGGCGAATCCAACGAATTTAAGTATTGCAAACGAACTAATCAGAGCTTCAGCAAACGAATATATGCGAGCTATGGCCGCCAGTGGTAATATGAACACAATTTCTAACGAACAAATGGCAGCAGCGGCTAATGAACAAATGCGCGTAAGTGCGGCGAATGAACAAATGCGAGCGGCCGCAGAAAACGAACAAATGAGAGCAGCCGCTAACGAACAAATGAGAGTGGCTGCTAATGAGCAAATGCGGGTTGCTGCGACCAACGACCAAATGAGAGCATCAAATGATCAAATGCGAACAGCTGCTGCCAACCAGCAGCAAATGAGAGCAGCGGTTGAAAATGAACAGATGAGAGCAGCGGCTGCCAACGAACAAATGAGAGCAGCTGCAAATGATCAAATGCGAGCTGCTGCAAATGATCAAATGAGGACTGTTCCCAACGACCAAATGAGAGTGGGTCATCAATTGCAAATGTTGGGCGCAGCAACCAACCTACCGACTAACCTACAGACCAACCCTTCATACTCAGAGCTTACTAGAATGTTGCCAAGAGAAAATACAGGTAATTGAAAAAAAAAATTCCAGATATTTTCATTAAAGGGACTATCGGTATAATTTTAAGTGACCTTTTAACCTTTTCTGAGTAAAACTAATTGTAAAATTGCATCTAAATATGCATATATTTTGATTTTTTTTCTCATAAATATATATTTTGATTGTTTCTTCTGTGCCGAGACAAGAATAAAACAATAAAATTAAGAATTGACATTAATATCAGTTTTTCCTTTCTTCCCCTGTTTTACTAAGATTAAGGTTTAGAGGGTCCTTTTTAGTTTTTTTCCCCACAAATTCCCCTATCTTAAAATTTAGCAGTATAATTAAATCAAGACTGGTTCTGTCATTTCATTTTTGTTCTAGACCCCCCCCCCCACCTCTCCCTCTGAAAAATAGCCCCTCCCATGATTATATTATTTCAGGTTTAGTAAGGTAAAAGGGAATGCAAGTAATTTAACTTCATGTGACCTTCCATACAAGGACGTCACTGTCAGTATCCGATTTACATTAGTTTTTACTCAAAAATATTCAATTTTAAAACTTTTCCTCTAGAGTAACGAAAATCATCCGAGGGGGGGGGGATTCTTGAAAATAAATACTAAACTGTTCATTCTGTTATTTACTTTTTAATGTTTACGTTTGAATAATTTTTTTTTAGGTGGTTGGTGACAAAATGGTTTTACCTTCAGGGGTTACCATCAACAAAATACTTCATACATGCGACAGGGATTAAAATTATTAAAAAAATGATCTGTCTGTTTTTTATGACAATCGACAACCCTTAAAATGATTTGACAAGGAAAAACAAAAATTTAGATTTTTTGTTTGTTTTTTAAATAAAAGAAAAAAATCTATAAATTATCAATTTTGGTTATTATTGAAATTTTGACTTGAATTTTAATCTAGATGCCCGTTTCAAGCTGCTAAGAAAAGTAAAATTATTCAGCATAGGTAACGTATTTTTAATTTTGACGATAAAATTAATGCTAAAATGGAGATTACGATTAAAGATTTTTTGATTAAATAATGACAAACAAAAAAATTTTATTCGAAACTCTTAAATTAAACAGACTATTATTTTGATGGAAAACGGTTCAAATGTTTAACAAACAAAAGGGATTTTTATCAACAATGAAAGTAGTTTTTTTTGCTCTTAAAAAATTCAAAACCAGTTTTGGGATTTCACTTCTGCAAGATTGTGTAATAATTGAAGAAATAATTGATAAGCATAAATATTAAAGAGAATCTTGACGTAATTTTTATTGTTCTCCTATCAAAAACATTTGTATGTTTGATTCATAACGATACACTTTTAAGTCTTTTCTGTAAAGAAACGTATTGAATTCAGACTTTAAATGAAGAATCTCTTTTAATCGACAGAGCCTTAAAATGTTTAATATCAAATACCATATCTGATGTTTTTGTTGCCACCTATCTGATAATCGAGCTCCACCGGGGTTTCTTTTGCATTTTTTGGCGGTTTTTTTTTAAAGAAAAGTTTATTAAATAATTTCAACTCGTTATATTATCTCTTGTGTTCAGACTGGTTGTCCACAGTACGCTGAGCCCCTACGTGTCAAATGTGCCGAGTAAAGCCCACCGTGCTATAAACCCCCCTCTCCTCCCATGTGACAAGTGTGAATACTCAACCCCAAGATCAGATCGACTCAATGAACACAAGAAAATGGTTCATGAAGGCGTTCGGTGAGATTTTTATTAGATTTTTGCGTTTAGTTAAACATTTTTTCTTAACGTACTCTTACAGCTTTTTTTGTTAACTCATTTTAAGAGATTGCTTTATACATCTCAACAAACAAGCAGTTACACTGGGCTGCATTGCATTGTGATATTTGGTTCATTTTATAAATCGGCTAAAATTGGGTTAAATCAAGTCGTTTTGTAATTTCTTAAAAAAATTTAAAACATTTAAAAATATTTCCCACTTTCTTCCAGTAGATCTTTCTGTATGATTTAGAAATTGTTGCATGATTAAATTAGAAGTTAGATTTTCAATAATATCATTTTACTCTTTAAAATATCCGACTGAAATACGTTAGTGATAAATATAGAACATATCGTCGCAGAATTTCCGAAACACCAAGACACATCAAAAATTCTTCCCGCCATTTTCCTCAAAAACAAAGTTCGCGCCATTTTCCTGGAAGACGGTCGGCACAATTTTTCAAAACTCAACTTTTGCGGATTTTAGCTGAAAATTTCGACGATTAAACACCGCACCGCAATGAATTGTGTGTTTTCAGGCACCACTGTGACCAATGTGACTTTTCGACGCCACGCCGAGAGAAGTTGACAACACACAAGATGGTCACACACGAGGGTGTACGTTTCACATGTGAACTTTGCAACTTCTCGGCAATTAGAATGGACAAACTAACTCATCACAGGAACTCTGTACATATAGGGATTCGGTACCCTTGTGATATATGTGGTTTCAGCAGTACACGGAAGGATAAATTGAAACAGCATGTACAGAGTGTGCATGAGAGAATAAGGTACCCCTGTAGTTTATGTGACCATCTGTCGGTAAGAAAGGATAAACTACGGGAGCACACTCTTGTTGTACATCACGGTTTCAAATATAAATGTGATATGTGCACAGAAGAGTTTATACGCCCGGAAAAACTAAAGCATCACAAGAAGATTCATGTTCCCTTCCTTACACTTAACTAAGATTAAACTTTGATGTAATCAACATTTTTACAGAAAATAAAAGTTACAAACAATTCGTTTTTTTTCAGTTTATTTTTCAGATGTAAGTTAATCGGATTTCTGTGTTAGATGCAATAGTTTGTATTTTAATCCTTTCTTACCGCTCTTGTCAACTAGGGGTGTTAATTTTACTGTAAATAATCTTTGGCTTTTTCAGAAAATATTAAAAATTCAAAAAAGTGTCGAAAAGATGGCAAAGAAAGTTTGTATTACTAATACTTTAATTTTATAATTCTTATATCTTTGCAACCCGTCAATCTTTGATATTTCAACTGCTAGATGAAATAAACCAAAAATTTAGTATTAAAGGTTTACACCATCAGGTTGCAAAGCTAAAAGGATTAGAATATTTGACTTTGAACAAAGTTTTTGGTTCCGTAAAATTAACACCTTGTTCTTTGACAAGAAAAATGTAAATCATTTTCATGTCATGGGTTTTGGTGGATTTTACGTGTATATTGATATACGCCATTTTCTTGGAACTTCTTCAGGAGATTAACACGTGATCAAAATGGCGGGAAGTTTGGTGTTCACCCTCAAAATAGAGATATCGCGACGATACCGGAAATTGTGGATTTTTTTGTGTTTGATGAATAAAAAAGTATTTACCGATGTAATGAAATCGACCAATTTCCCGGATATATAGTTTTCTTAGTGTTCACTTTTTGTTTTCTTTAATTTCTTCTAAGTCTGTCTTTCTCGTCTTTCTATTCGATTAATTTTTTTTACTGCTTGCTTGGTTCATTTCAATGTTCCATAAATATAACATGTCAAAAGTTATAAATTCAGAGTTATAAAGATCTATATTTTAATGAAATTTTGTTCATGTAGTTTGTGTTACTTAAAAACGCAACCCTTAAAACATGACTTCTTTATCTTTTTTGTATTTAAGATTAAAATCGATGAATGGTTATTAGTTTTTGAATTGAATTGCGGGGCATATATGTATTTAATACCATTCCTTAGCAGTCTTAAAAGATATATTCAAGCAATAACAATTCATAGATAAGGTTCAGCTTTGAGCAAGACCTGTTTAGGATAAATTTGGGAATTGGAATTTCTTTATTCATCTAGAATAAAAACGCTGATGATAATTAGCTCTACATTGAGTCTTCTAAATTTAATTCATTACTTATCTTAGATTGCAAGAAAATGGACACACATTTTTAGAATTTTCCTCCTAAAATTGCACAGTTTTTCATTCTCGTTTATATTGGTGTCCGGGCATTAATTTTCTTCTTGTATCCTAGTCCCGTGAAGAAGAACCTACCCTGTAACCAATGCGAGTTTGTTGCGCAGCGTCAGGATCGATTGAACGAACATAGGAAGGTTGTACATGAAGGTTTCAGGTGCGTACCATGTACACTGTACACTGTACATGAGACTTTTTCTACGTTCAAGAATCACTTTTTGACTTATATTAATTCCTCGATAATTTCCAAGAAAATGTAGTATAGTTAGGATAAAAAGTACTATCCTAAAACCGCGCATTTTTTTAATGATCGTAAAATTCATTTAACTAACCGTTGAGACTCATAAATCATGGGGCTATAACGACGACCAAAAATAGAGTTCAATCAAATTCTTTAGAATTTCTATTTTGCTGTAAACCATGATTTATGAGACTCGGTTTTCACTTAAAGGGAATATTTACGAAACATAAAAGGGTTTGATAGCATTTAGAATGAATCAATAAATCAATCGTACCATTTTCCTTTCAACTTGATGCACGCTCAGAGCAGAACTTACTGAAATTGGGTTAAAAAATGAAAATGTACCAATTGAGGTTTGATTCAATTCTTGTTCATTATTCACCCGGTTTCCGTTCTCGCGAACGTTCCCTTTGAATATAAATTAATTTTAAATAATTTTAGACATAATTGTGACCAGTGTGATTTCTCCTCCCCCCGGAAGGATAAATTATCAACTCACAAGATGGTTATTCACGAGGGTATTAGGTTCACGTGTGATCTCTGCAACTTTTCAGCCATCAGAATGGACAAACTAACTCATCACAGAAACTCTATTCACATGGGGGTTCGGTATCCATGTGATCTCTGCGTGTTCAGCACGACGAGAAAGGACAGACTAAAGCAACACATTGAGAGTATTCATGAAAAGATCAGATATCCCTGTGATACGTGTGGATATCAGGCGGTGAGGAAGGATAAACTAAAAGAGCACATTATGGTCGTGCATCACGGCTTTAAGTTTCGATGTGCCTTATGCGGAGAGGAGTTTTTGCGACAGGATAAATTAACAAAGCACAAGAAAACTCATAATACACAGCTGTTGTTGCTTTAACTAACAAATGTCCTGGAAATATTCAAAGATTCCCGATAAACATGAGGTTTTCGTGACGATTATGAAAATTTTCGATTTTAGGCTATTCCGGGTTGTTGTTATTTTTAAAAATAAAGACAAATATCGCATGTTTCTCCAATTTTGTTTTACCTACCAAGGAATTCAGTATATGCCACAAACTTGAATGTTCTAATCCATATAGACTTAAACTTAGATTTAACTGAATTGATAAGAAAATCAGAGCTTGTGGTAAAAATGGGATTAAATTCTGAATATTACCACCCGTTCAAAAGGTAGAAATGAGATATATTATAAAATATTAATTTTACAGTCAATTCATAAAAAGTTTTTATCAGCGTCGCTAATATTTCGTTTTTTCTATGGACTCACTTCAGTGACTTTACAGATCTCCAGATAGATTGTCAAAAACTTAAAATTGTATTTTGAAAATACAAAAAAAAGATGAAAATGGAATTGAAGATTTTCCTTACTTTTCAACAACCTTATTGATATATGTTCAATCGGTTAATTTGTGAACATTGAATCTTGAACAATTGTTAAATTTTGTTTCATTAACAGTTTACACTCTTTTCCCCTTTTTATTTCAATTTTTTTTGGTCTTAGTTCATGCATTATTAAAGAAGAAAGAAAGAAATTAATGCTATTTGTTAGAAAATAAAAATGAATAGTAAATAACCTTGAAACTTTATATAAATATAAATATTATTGACAATTTGTGTAAATATACATTTTTATGATATTCTTCTAATTTTTTTTTGTTGAAAAGTTCGTTTTATGGCCTGTCATTGACAAATAAGTTGTTTATGTTCCTATTAAAAACAATTGAGACATTTATAATTGAAATCTCTAAAAATTCCTAATATCTCCCTGTAAGACAGCCCACATTTTGGAAATATTGGTCTAGGGGAGATTTGTGATTATGTTTCAAGAATCATAAGAGCGTCCCATATCATATTAGATTATCCTCAAGCTTTAACGCCAAAACACGCACACATAATACTCAAAAAACCGAGTATTTTCTGCAAGACAACTTTTATAGAAACCTTCTACATTTTTAAAAATGATTTATTGTTTTTAATTTTCTGATGTAAGTTCCTAAAATCACAATTTTGAGTTATACACGATCTAATATGATGAAGGACACCCTGTACGTACATGTTCAAGTAAGTTTTACAAATGAATGCCGCCCACTGTCATGTTTCGTGGGAGACCCTGTATATTGTGTATGCACTATATATGCAGCACAAATACTGGATTACAGTGAAATAAAAAATGAAAAAAGTGTTGCTAATAATAAAGATAATGATGTTAATTGTAATGATAATAATAATGATATTGGTTATGGAAATTATAATAGTTGTATATTAACAATGATATAAATCATAATATCGGTAATGATACTTCAAAACAAAACATTTTTCATTATTGTTGGTAGAATGTGACTTAGCCTGTGGTCCAAAAATGCAAAGCCAAAACACAGCATTGAAGGGGAGAGTTAATACTTAGGTTAAATAATTCAGGGGACTTTAGTTCCAAAGCCAACACTTGGCCCATTTTTAACACTTGAGTGTTAGAAATGGGCACAAATTGAATGACTTGTTTTTTAGGATCCCAACCCATATCCAGAGTAAAAGTCGATAGTTAAAACTATAACCAACATTTTATTAAGCATGACGAGGACAACAATTCTCAATTTAAAACTATTTTCTGGAATCAAAGTTAAAAAAGGAGTTCTTTTTATATCAAAACCCATGACCGTTTTCAAGACAATATCAGGTTTTCCATTTTCGAATATATCCTGAATTTGAATCATTGTCGCGTTTTCGAGACTAACCCACTTTCCCGTTTTTGAGTATAATCCTCAATTCAGAATAGAATTCATTTTGATAACTTACAAAGTGAATCAATGAAAGTAAAAATTATCCAATCAAGACTAAATTAACTGCAAAATTATTTCTTATACTTAATTTCCCCATTTTATTTTTTAAATAAGAGAATAAAGTTTATTTAATTTCCCGCATTCTAAATAAACTATCGGATTTCTTATTAAGTTATGATTTCTAGTATATATTGTAGGAACCAAATAATATTAAAATATTGATTTCTCAATGCTGTAATTATTATTAAATTATAAAAGAAAAGTTTTTTTTTTTACATTTTACCTTGTCAAAAAATCTTGTTTGTTATGAAAGTGTGTAAATGCTTCAAAACTGACATTGATATGAATTCGAGTAATTGTCTCAAAACCAGGATAACGCGAAAACGCGACATGAGCTAAAATGCGGTAATTGTTTCAAAATAGGGATATGTTCGAAAATGAAAACCAATATCATCAAAAACTAATTCTCACACCTTATTTTTAGTTTAAAGTTGCCTTGTTTTAATATATTGTTTTTGCCATTTTGTATAAATATATATACTCGTTTTACTCGTCTTGGATTTTAAGATACACTCAAAGATTTGACCGATTTCTAACACTCAGTGTTAGAAATGGGCCAGGTGTTAGTTTTGGAACTAATTTCCCCTGGAAATACAAAATATTAAGAAATAAAATAAGAAAACTGAGTCAATTCATATTCATTCTTCAGATGACTTGACAAGCTAAAATGGGAGAACTAGTCAGCTACTTGAAGACATGCATGGTGTATGCCAGCATACCGTTGATGTACCTGGGAATTAGCATGCTGAAGCTAGCCTACCTCGTAGCTCCGCATGTCGTACTGAAAGGTGTTAAAAACATGAGTAATCGTTTGCCCGGAATGGAGAAAATATTGCAGAATGCTGAATCGGCCGCTGATGTCAATTTTTTTTCTCCAACGAATATATCAAGGTGATCAATCTCAAAAAATAAAATATTTTAAAAACAAACAAGCAATCAAAATGTTTCTTGGATAAAAAATATTATTTTATTAAATCTTCAAAACATTTTCTTAGATCTGTTTTTTAATGAAACTAATTTTATTAACTATTTACCCTAAAAAGTCCCACTACTATTATTTGATAAGATTTTGAAGAAAGCAATTGAGTCTTTGCTGAAATCTTTGCAACCCAAAGTCGTAAACCTTAGATAATTAAAATTTTGAATTCTAATATATCAAATAATCAAAGTTTAAAATATCAAAGGTATACACCATCAGGTTGCAAAGATTTAGGGATTAGAAAATTTGAGCTTGTGACAAAGCCTCAAATCATTAAGAATGCACATGACGTCATTGAAGTAACATAAAATAGAAAGAAAAGAAAGAATATATAAAACTGCACTTATTTCACTTCAAACTTTGACACTTTAGTCTATTTTTAACCCCATATTTGGAATATTTTATCTAAAACATTGAAAATCGCAATGTCACGTGAATACGACTGTTCTAAATGTATTTATAGCGTATATGTGGATTCTCCACCTCTACTCTGTTTGTTGTTTGGGTCCAACTATAAACTGATCAATATCTATTTTGAAAATCAGAAAACATTTTTTTTCAGGCGAATATAAAAACACTTCTGAACAACATCAATAAAACAGCAGCTGAAGGTCAACCTGCTGTTAACGTGAAGCTGGTCAACCCGGATAACGGAGCTCAAGTAAACATCCTGGATTATGCAAAGTAAATGTTATCTTTTTTTTATCTTCTACTAACTGGAGTGCCCGGCGTTGCCCGTGGAATTAAAAACAAAGAATTAAAAAAAAAGATTTAGCCTTTGATAATCCCTCGTGTACCCATGGATTTCTTAAAAAAATTTCATTTAATTCGGTCCTGCTGTTTGGCCAGCTATAGCTGACATTTGTATACATATATTTGAGCAAAGAGCTTTTCTTTCATAGACAAAATAATGCTCTTTACTTATTTATTTGTTCGTTATAGTTGGTCAAGTTGGCTGACATTTTTTTGAGGGAACCCTTGGGGTGACATATAAACTCCAGCTAGTTCGTTCTTAGATTTCAAAACAAGTTTTCCATAATTAAAGGGATTGTCGTTGTAATTTCAAGTGACCTTTTATTTAGAGAGGAACATGGCCGATTCACAACGGATTTAAACCCTTATCGGATTAATTATGTGGAAGGGATCGTCGATGTTATGCCACATTTTAAATTCAGATAATTTTCTTTAATTGGATCTGCAGAAGGAAGTCACTTTGTAAAGAAACCGAAACGGAAAATAACGAATTTTTAAAGAGGTAATCATGGATATCTGATTCATACTTGATCAGAATAAAAGCTTTAAAGGAAACCGTTGTGAATCCAACATGTCACTTTGAAAATAAATAGTCACTTAATAAAACGATCAAAAAGTTCAAGCTTAATTTTCATATTTTCTTTGACATTTTAGTCTAAAACTATTATTTGTTACTTATCTTGTCCTTTCTCATTTTTCAATTGGGCGGATGCAATAGCTGAACCAGGCTATTAAGAAGGACAAGATAATTAACAAATAATAGTTTTAGACTAATATGTCAAAAAAAAGCATAAAAATTAAGCTTGAACTTTTTGATCGTTTTTTTGTGAATAAAATTCTGCCAGAAACAATTCAGTTTAATTACTGCTTGGCATGGGGGTTCAAAACATCTGACATGTTTTACATTTAAAGTTAACGGAAATGTTGTCTATTTGTTTAATTCGTGAAATAAACCCTAAATTGTTTAGATACCTGTCCATTTTAGGGATAAAGTTTATTCAAGACCACCTTTTGAAATGCTCAAAAAAAGAAAAGAATGTTTGTTTCATGTTTGTTGGGTTCATTCAAATAAATGTCAAAAGTTTGATTATAACGTGTTTTTTTTTAAAAGATTTATCATGTAAAAATAATGATTTAATGAGAACTAAAAAGTCCAAAAACATCTCTTTTTAAACAAAAACTTTTGAATTCTTCAAGGGACCGTTCACTAGAAGGCTAAAATTTTGCATGCAGCCTCTAATTTTAGTCGTCTACATGGATCACGAAGAAAATTTGAGATCGGAGATCATTGATCTCCATGACTTCATAAAATATGGGAGAATACCACTTTTTTTCCTTCTAATTCACTTATTTCAAGTTAATCAGGCATGTTTTCACATTTTGGCTAACTCATACATCATGTGCTGATATTGACACATATATCCGACCTGCCTTCAATAACAACCTCTAAAAAGGTCAAAATATGAAATCAATGTAAATGGGTCATGTGAGGTATCAAATCATAGGTTTTTTGGTGTTCCGATTCCATTCTGAGAGCCCTGTTTAACCTCAGATGGTCCTGGAGGTCGTGACCTCCAAATATCAATGACCTCCGGAGGTCAAAATATGAAATCAATGAAAATAAGTCATGTGAGGTATCAAATCACAGGTTTTTTGGTGTTCCGATTCTATTCTGAAAATATGAAATCCACGAATATTTTAATGAATGTCGAGGAACAAAATTCGCGACCAGTCTCTTTAATAATGATTTTTTTTAGAGCTGGTCGTATCCTTGTTGTTAATTTTGGTTCCTGCACCTGACCCCCATTCATGGGCAGCCTCTCAAAGTTTAGGTAAATAAATTAAATATCAATACCATTACATGGACATTTTCATTATTTTTAAACTATCATAATTTTTGCAATATGTCATATTCCAGAACTTTGGAAGTATCTAAAGAATCTATAAAATGTCCTCTTGACAATTTTAAATGTTTTTATACGTTTGTACCTAAATTGTAAACATAAACAAATTATAGCCATGAAATATGCAGAGTAAAAAAGTAGATGTTAGTTCCACATAACCTATGTCGTCATATTAAAAACAGTATTACTTGTTTACTTGAAGAGGAACTTCTAAGGGATTATCTTGATCCAAGGAAGAAGTGTCAGCTTTACTGGTGACCCATACCATTTCCGAGAACAGAGGTTTGATAGATTATTTCATCAGGGTAGGGGCACTTGGCTCAAATACATGTTTTTAAACTGTTTGACATTTCTTGCATTTTTGATGCTTTCAGGTAGTGCATTCCACTGCTGAACTATTCTATTGGAGAAGAAGTGTTTTCTTATACCTAAATTGGGTCTGAAAGCTACTATACAAAGGGACTGTTCACTTGTTCTGGTTACTCTCCTTTTAGTGTCGCCATACAGCTCAAACCAAATCTTTCTGTCCACATCATCTATTCAATGTATGATTTTGAAGATTGGTGTATGTTTTCTCTCCTCCAGTGTAGTCAGACCAAGTTCTTTTACCCTTGTTAGATAATCGGTTTCTTGTAATCCATTAACCTGTTTTAGAGCTTTTTTCTGGACATTTTCTAACCTTTCAACATCTGAAGTTAACCAAGGATTCCAGACCATAGATAAAGATAGATTGCGCATAAGACGACATTTTCATCTTGAAAGATATAAATGTACAGAGATGTTTTAAAGATATTCCTATATATAGATTAACTAGGTCGGTTGTGAACATTGGCTGTTCTTATGTCATTGAGTACTTGTGGTGTACATGAGTTTTGTAGAGAGAAATTTAAGTTAGTTTAGTCCTTCTCATGTCCTTCTTCAGTTCTCGTCAATATGATATATTGCTCAGTGAAATATTGTTGTTCAAATAGTTCCATCCCCGGAGTTTTTTTACACTCTTAGTCAAGGAGATCGCCGCTAAGCTGAAAATCCTTCAGAGAGGTACTTGATAATATTACCTAAACAAGATAATATGAACAAGATAATATTACCTAAACAAGATAATATAAACAGGATAATATAAACTAGATAACCCCGCTTATCATTGAAGTACGCTTTGACCCCTGGCCCTAGAAGTATGAGTTCGCTGACTGTACAATTCTTGGTGATTTTGCGACATAAGCTATCTATGTTTATTTATTTATCTATGTTCCAGACTGAACAAGAGAACTCAAGATGAAGTCATACATATGTCTTAAACAGATTTATAGATGTAATTCTATCTCTATTGGTGAAAGCTCTCAGAATCTGGTTCAGAACAGCCGGCCATAGCTGTGTTTGCTGCTTTCTGTCACTGTATACTCGGTTTTTAATTATCATTCACTCCTATTCCTTTTCCTTTGTATCTGATTGGAATTTTTCCCCTCCAATGTGGTATTCATAGCGTGGATTATTTTTTCCCAAGTGAATAATTTTGCATTTACTCGCATTAAATTTCATCCCCCACTTGACTGACCTGTCCTAGAGGTTATTTAGAGCTGTTTGCATAAGAATTTCATCCTGAGCTGACTTGATTATCTTGGCTCTTTTAGAATCATCAGCAAACTTATTAATACAATCCAGGGTCTTCACTGCATCATCCAGGTCATTTATGAAGGTTCTAAAAGCTTTTGGGCCAAAAATGCTGCCTTGTGGGACTCCAGACTTCCCTGGCATCCACTCTGAGAGACTGTTCCCAACCTTTACTCTCTGTCTTCGATCTGTAAGCCAGTTTTGTATCCAACCAAGAATGTTTCCTGTTATTGACATTGATCTTATCTTCTCTAGCAACCTTAATTTGGCACTTTATCAAAAGCTTTTGTAAAGTTCAAGTAGACCATGTCAACAGGGTTTCCCCTGTCTACCTGATAAGTTACAAAATCAAAGAACTCCAATAAGTTTGTGGAGTATGATATGGCAACATTAAGATTTCTATTAAAAAGTTATTAGTATAATCTAAAATTTGTCTTTCGTGAATTAATATAATACTATATCAATTATAAATAACACAGACAAAATTATATCATATTTACATTGTTTCTTTCCCGAGCACCGGGGTACCCATTGTAAATCAAAATCTATAAATGGAGGTTAACTTTTAATTTATGTTTACAGTCCCTATAATGGGCACCTCGCTCCCCCCCCCGTCTTTTTTAAAATCTCAAGATTGTTATTTATAGCGGAACCAGAGCTAGATTTGAGAATATGGTGGATTTTATCACAGTTTATATTGAAGAAGCACATCCTAGCGATGAAGATCATTTCAAGGAGAATATAGATATTAAAACTCATCAGAATCTCCAGGTAATAACCAACCTATACAATCTTACATTGAACAACAGACTGAATCACTAACCCACTCAATACTACTAAAATAACAGACTGAATCACTAACCCACTCAATACTACTAAAATAACAGACTGAATCACTTACTCACTCAATACAACTAAAATAACAGACTGAATCACTAACCCAATCAATACTACTTAAATAACAGACTGGCTGAATCACTTACTCACAGGATTAAATGACTCGAGTAAATAAATCACTTAATCAATAACACACTGATTAAATAATTTACTTAATCTCACATTCACTTGACTGTATGACTAAATCACAAACTTACTGACTGCATGACTTACAATTAATTGATAAACTATTCATTACTCACTGACTAAATGACTTACTTAATCACATACTACAGGGTGTCCCAAAAAACATGGGAATTCAGTGACGATTTCGATATCGTCTTTGTTATGAATTAGCTTTGTAATACCTAATTTCAAAAGCCATAATATTATTATGTCTGCTAGAGTTTATTTTGTGAAAAGGGTAAAAGACTGTAATGATGAGTTTATAATGTCTCAGCAAGACGACCAAGTTTAGTTTACTCTATTGTATAATGTAATTTTCTTGTTTTACTAAGTACAACCGTATGCAGTCAAAACATAAACAAAGAAAATGTGAACATAGCAGACGAAACTCTTACTGATTACAGCTTTCTCCGTAGGTATTACTATACTAAATCAAATAATTATTTAAAGAGACGATATTGACTTCGTCAATGAATTCCCATGTTTTTTGGGACACCCTGTATTTAAATGCTTTACCTAGTCACATATTCACTGACTAAATGAATCACTTAACACACTTACATTGAACGACTTACTGATTCGCATAAATTCTGACTTAATAAGACTTACTTAATCCCCAAACTCCCTGACTGAATGAATCACCATAACCCTTACATGCATATTGCATACTAAAATGTACTACGAACTACGAAGGGTTATCCTTAAAATAACTTTTACCTCCATAATTAGTAATAAAAAGATTTTAAGTAGGGTTTCCAGCGAAATGGAAAAATTGTTTCGAGAAAAAAATTTTCGTGACCATTTTGCTTCATTTTTGCATTTCGTTCGCTCGCGAAATATCAGAAAATTTTAGCGAAAAAAATAATGCCAAACTTTCGCGAAAAAATAATGCGGAAATTTCGCGAAAAAAATGCAAAAATTTCGCAAAAAAATGGAAATTATGCAAAAAAATGGGGGCATTCATTCAGTTAGAGAATTTTTATATTTGGGGGCATTCATTCAGTTAGAGGCAAAGTGTGGGACAAATTTTTTACTATATTTTACGGGAAATTTGTTTAGTTTGGGGGAAATCTCAAATCTTTATTTTTGGTTTTTTCCAGTTTGGTGAATTTTGTGTATGGGAAACCTTAAATCTTTATTTTGGGGTCAAATTTTTTTTCTGAAGAAATGATATAAAGGGGCATTTTTTTAAACTAAGAGTTATTTTTTTGTGGGAGGGGGGCAAAACCTCTTATCAACATAAAATAAGGGGAATTTTTTTTTTATAGGGCTGTAAATTTTAAAGTTGGTTGTATTTATAAAACATTTGGTTATAAAAAAAAATTCAATTTAGGTGCAAATTAAAAATATTTGATGGCATTTAAAAAAAACAAGGGTTATAAATGTTGGATAAAGGGGCAACTTTAAGTCTGGTTGGGCAATTTGAATAAGAATGTAAGTGTAATTTTAAAAAATCCAAATTTGGAGGCATATTTTAAAGAAAGAGGGAAAATAAAAAGAATCGGAGTTTATTTTGAAAAATTATATAGTTGAATTTGAGTTTGCTTAAATAGTGTAGGTTTTAAAAAAATTACTGTGGGGGCATATTTTTCTTAAATTTTCGAGAAAATTTGCTATTTTTTTTAATTATGTGAACTACTGTTTAGGAAGGGGGGGGGCAAGCAGCAAGCTCCTCTTAATCAGGCTATGGGGGTGGCTGCCACCCCCCTAGTTGCGCGCCAGTTCCTTAGCATTGATAGAATCCTCATACGTCTTGCTAGCCTCCATTTTATTCAGTGACGTCATATGAGGATTCTTTCTATCTATACTCAGGAGACGTTATTTTCCGTACATTTGAGCGCATCGGGAGTACACCTTGGGACCAATACATATTGAGATACTTAAGTACAAAAGTTGTGCATCCTACCTAAAAAAGTTGTGCATCCTACCTAAAAAGTTGTGCATCCTACCTAAAAAAGTTGTGCATCCTACCTAAAAAAGTTGCCTAAAAAAGTTGTGCATCCTACCTAAAAAGTTGTGCATCCTACCTAAAAAAGTTGTGCATCCTACCTAAAAAAGTTGTGCATCCTACCTAAAAAAGTTGTGCATCCTACCTAAAAAAGTTTTGCATCCTACCTAAAAAAGTTGTACATCCTACCTAAAAAAAGTTGTACATCCTACCTAAAAAAGTTGTGCATCCGACCTTCTATAAGGTTGTTCATTTGACCTGTAAATGCAGTGCATCCGACCTACAAAAAGTCTGCATCCAACCTGCAGAAGTTTGCAACCGACCTACAGTAGTTCGAATACACTAACTTATTTAAAATGAGTGTGTATCCGACAAACCGTTCATCGGACCAACAGCAGCTAGAAGATGCTGAAAATCATGTGCGGGTGGGTCCAAAGTATCGCAGGAAAGATGTAACGTTGGACGGATGTAATACAATATTTTTAACTTGCAGTGCAGCAGTATATATCTTGCAATTATAATATTAAGAACTAGCTAATGGGCCCGGCATTGCCCGTGGAATTTTTTATTTTATTTTGAAAAATATATATTTAAAAAGATTATAAATTTTTTTTTTCAAATTCTTTTAGTTCTAAGACACCCATGAGAGTCCACAAAAAATGTCAGTCCATTCGGTCCAACCGTTTGGCCGGCTATGGCCAACATATACATGTGAATGTCTTGTTTTATTATTTGGAATTAATACAAAGAACAGTCACTGGGAAATATGAAGAATTTTGATTAGATACGGGCATTTTTTTTTGATAAATTTAAATCTGAACGATTTTGAATTTGATTTTACAATTTATTTTCAGGTTGACAGGATGGATAATGCGGCAAATAAATCATATGGCGCATTTCCGGAACGTCTCTACGCCATATTGGATGGTGAAGTAGTTTTTGCGGTGAGATCATTTGACCTGAATATAATCGTTTCTTCAAAAAAATTATTTGATGAATTTTGAATAATTTTCTGATTCAAATGCTTTTGGATTATGCACTAATTTTAGGGAGGTATCGGTCCGTTTCAATACAGCCTGGAGGAACTGGACACATTTCTGGAAATAAAACTGGGCAAAGAGAAAATGAAATGTCGATGAAAATGTTTAAACATGATAAATATGGAGCAATGAAGGATCAGTTGAAAATCTACGGACAAACTAATCTGAATGATAATCTCATATTAATTTAAGGGTTAAACTGAAATAAATTGAAACTCGAGTAAAGTTGGCTGGCACGAGAGAGGGAGAGATATATAAGGCCATGAACCCCAAAAATTGCATTCCGAACACAAGACAATAAGAAATAAGCTGTGCTTAAGATCAGATTAATTTTGATTAATCCACCCTGAAAAAATAGTTTCGGATCTGGGAACATTAATCTTGATTTACTAACTTTTTTTTTAACAAAGAATTAGAAAAAATTTCATTTTTATTTTTTTTCTCGCTCAACAGATCCGGATCCGAATCCTAAGCACCGGAAATAAGATCTCTGTACATCACAGATTCTAATTCTATACGGATTTGAAGTCTGTATAATATTTTCGAAAAGCCACAATTCTGATATTTTGACAATCTTATCAATTCGAGCAACAAAGTTTTTAATATTAAAATCTATCACCCAGGTTATATGATCAAACTTTAGGTATTTCAAATGCATAAAAAGGCTCCAAAAACTTAAGTTCGGAAAAATTATATTTATCAAAGTTGATCTAATTTTTGTAACTTTGATTTTTTAAATGACTGTTTTATCCGATTTCTTTAAATTAAAAAGTACACATTCAAAGTTTCTTGAGTTTTAAAAAAATAAAAAATAACAAACTGGGCCAAGTATCAAGTCGCAAATATTTACATATAAATTTTCTATGGAAATAAATTGGCAAGTTTTATTTAAAAATAGCGACAATTTTTACAAAATTTTCAATAATAATTGCGTTAGCAAGTCAATGCAAATTTTTAAAACACGATACAATCGCTAATCGAAATATTTACATCAAAATTGCTTAAATATGTTAACAAAAAGTTATTTTTGATCACAAATTAGTCTTTCCATAATGCTTTGTGACTATGCTATTGCGTAGTGTTCACCGAGTGGGCAACTGAACCAGAGCTATTTTAGTGTTTAAAAATGTCAGGAATGTAGAGATAAAGAAATGTCTGAAATGTAAGTTTTGATTTTCTGTGGATCCGGAGAACAAAATTTTAAATGTAATTGTAGGTATTATTAATTTAATATTAAGATTTTAGACATCACATAAATGTTAAGAATGTAGGTATCAAATATATGTTAAGAATGTAGGTATCAAATATATGTTAAAAATGTAGGTATCAAATATATGTTAAGAATGTAGGTATCAAATATATGTTAAGAATGTAGGTATCAAATATATGTTAATAATGTAGGTATCAAATATATGTTAAGAATGTAGGTATCAAATCTATGTTAAGAATGTAGGTATCAAATATATGTTAAGAATGTAGGTATCAAATCTATGTTAAGAATGTAGGTATCAATTGTATGATTAGAATTTAGTTATCAAATACATGTTAAAATTTAGGTATCAAATATATGCTAAAAATGGAGGTTTAAAATATGTGATACAGGAATGTAGGTTTCAAATAAATGTAAAAAATGTAGTTATAAAATAAGTGTCAAGAAAGTAAATTTCAGCGGAAACAAAAAGTAAGTTTCAGAAAAAAATTCTTTTTAATATACGTAACACAAGGCATTATGTAAAAGTAGGTTTTAATCTTAACAAAAAAATACAGTTTTCAATATTTCCACCTGACGAATTTGCATACAGTAATAACCAATAAACTCTGGAATAGGAAGACGACTTTTAGACTTAAGTTATGACTTTAAATACTCCAATATGCGTGGGATGCAAAAATTGTGCAGTGTAAAATGTAAGTAGACTCATTTCACTTTTTTTGTGATACTAAGTGTCCAGTAAAACTATTTTCTTTGTAATAACATCAAATACACTTAAATATTGCTATAAAGTCGTCTTCCTATTTCCGCGTTTTCTGGTTATTATTGTAGTTCACCATTTTGCTGTCTTTCTTTTCCGCATTTTCTGAGTCAGGCATGTTGTTAACATTGTGCATTTAAATTGTCTGATATAATTGCTTGATTATTAGTCATCCGATTTTGATTTCTTTGGACAGGAAAGTTTTTATTTCTCGGGAAAGTCTAACTATCAAGGTTCACATGCAGTTTCTGGTCAGGTTGACCCTCTTCAAAGGACTGATTGATAAAACCGCCTTAACAAATAAAATTTGTCTCTTTTATAATAAGAGGTATTACGGGGGGGGGGGGGTGAAATACGTTTTGCCCTGTCACTTGTTAAAATAAGTAATAATTCGCCCCAAAGATTAAAGTGTAAGCCTTTTCAGTTGAAAATTATTGACTTAACGAATGTCATTATTAATAAATTTTATAAACAATATTAAAATATTATCTTAAAAATTGTTATTTTAGTAATTTTGTTATTTATGTAATATTCCAACAAATTATTACCTGTAACTCTACCTTGAGGATGATTAGTAGTTTGATGTGCTGGCGCTTTCCTGTGGCACAATGAAGATTTAAACACTTATAAATCATAATAATAAACAACTCAACAAAACCACAAACAATTCAAACAATAATTAATTAAATCCTGCTTCCGTTGACAAAGCTCTTGCAAGGGGTCTGTCAACACATTTTCAAGTGACCCTTTATTCATAGTTACTTTTTTTCTTAGTGAAATTTGGTATTTTCAATTTATCTCTCCCTGTAAGTGACATGCAGATTTACTTAAAGAAACAAGGATGGAATTTGGCGGCTCATTAATCTCATTTTTATAACAATAAAACGAAACCTTCGTCACGTTTTCAACGCTGTGAATCGGGCATGTAACTCTTAAAATGGAGAGTAACTCAAGAATAAATAAATAAAACCCTACATTCCTTTTCGTAGAATTCCAGGGTTCGCTAAGGCGGCGCCTGTTCAGCTGAACTGGGACATCATACAAAGATTGTGACACATTGGAGGCGTCACAAGAATTCGATTCCGGAGGCACATTGGAGGCGTCACAAAGATTCGATTCTGGAGGCACGTTGGAGGCGTCACAGAAACTTAATTCCGAGGGAACATTTGAGGCGTTACTGGGGCTAAATACCGGAGGCACATTTGATGCGCCAGTGTGACTTAATTCCAGAGGCAAATTGGATGCGTTGCAAGGACTCAGTACTGGAGGAAATGTTTTAGATTTGCGAAGCTTTGGAGGCAACCAAACCACTGAACTGTTAATATTCAATCTAGAGGTTCCAACCTCCGAATGCGCATGCTCATTTCCACCAACCTTGCTCTCTTGCTTCTCCATTTCTTTCTTTATCTTTCCTTCTTCTTCATTTCTGTTTATTTCTTCCTTTACTGTCTCTTCTTCTTGTCTCTCAGTCTGTGAAGATTCAGAAACCCTTCCTGGTTCCTCAGAACTCTTCCTCCAACTCCTGACAGAGTTTCGAAACAAAACAAAACGCATTAATAATAAAAAGAACCTTTTTTAGTTAAAGGAAGTGACCGGCTATGTAAGGTAGTTGAACTGAGTATGCAGTGTTGTCGAAAATCCTGAGTTTGAGCGCAAATTCGACGTTCAAAACTCCTGATTTGGGGGTGGATACGCTTTCAGAATTAGTTTTTTTTAAATTATTAAATAACGACAACGAAAAATAAAGTAAAAATTATACAGTAATCTAATTAGATGGCTAGGAACATATTTCAAAAAAGAAATTTGTCAATAAATCAATGCTAAAATCGATTATTTCGTTTACATTATTATATTGAATTTCTAATTTTCATTGAATTTATTCGCAGATTTCTTCAATTTCTTTAAATGTCGTCTTTTCAATAATAATTATAGAAAATCTGCAAACATCTTTGTGAATAACGAGAAACTATAATAATGAGATAATAGAAACTAATAATTGAACAAGATTACTTATTTTCGATGACAAGATTAATTTTCATTTTCTCAAAATGTTCCTGTAGTTTATTGTAGAATATTTTTACATTTTATGTCGTCGTTAATTAATAATTTAAAAAAAAACTAATTCTGAAAGCGTATCCACCCCCAAATCAGGAGTTTTGAACGTCGAATTTGCGCTCAAACTCAGGATTTACAGACTTTTAAAAAGTTTAATATGTCTCAAATGAATCTGTAAGAAGTTTTCCACAACACTGCATCCTCAGTTCAACTACCTTACAAAGCCAGTCACTCCCTTTAAGCTTCAACGACTTAACTCTATATCCACCGGAAAAATGTGTTAAATTGTGGGTTTTTAAATCGGGGAAAGTTGCCAATTTCTGCCAGCTTGAGATTCAGGAATACAAAACCTCCCTGTTATCAAAAGGATGGATAGCAGATTAATTTCATGAAAAGCTTTAATTTAAAATATGTTTTGCCTGCATATCTCATCTCCTATTACTCTTATTATTGGACCCAAAAAAACAAATAATAATTTTTATGCTTATTACCTTCTCGATATGATGGTAAATTTAGCAGGACTCAGTATATTTATCAGTCTCTTCACTACTCCTGTAATTTTAAATTATTATACATCCTGGCTTTCTCGCATCACATCGCATTAAATCGCATTAAACCAAATCGAACCAAACCAAACCAAACCAAATACACAAACCAACCTGAGATTATTGAACACAAACCAAACTAAGATGGTTAAACAAAAATCAACCTGAGATTATTGAACACAAACCAACCTGAGATTATTGAACACAAACTGAGATGATTTAACACAAACCAACCTGAGATTATTGAACACAAACCAAACTGAGATGGTTTAACACATACTAACCTGAGATTCAATATTTGGGAGAGAAACCATTCCATCAGGATGAACTGTAGCCTCCAAGATGGGCCGTATATCTGCAGAACTTAAACTTTTATTGAACTGATCCATGACTGGAGAAAAGGGTTGGTTTTCATCAGTTTTTTCTGATAAAACTCTAAATATTATATTAACCTTCTTTTATGTTCTTATAAACTTCAATGGAAAAATATAGCATAAGTATAATTGCTGGAGAGGCTATTAACTACCTTTTGTATGATTCAAATATGAAAAATTATTAAAATTCTACTTATCCTGTCTACATTACATACCTAAAGGCAGAAGATGGACGTTGAGGCACCTCAAATTCAATAGAATCTAAGGAGCAAGCTGACTCATTTCGTTCCCTAATCATGTCCCATGGAGCTCCTGTATCATCTGGAGTATCCAATGATATGGATGGAGTAGAACATGTTGGATCCAATGATATGGATTGAGATGATGAGGGGAGGGCACTGTAGTCCTCGGAGTTCAATGCAATGTGAGGAAGAGGAGCAGTCTGAGGTCTAGGTAAAATGTCCCTAAAAAGAGAAAAAATAATCCAAATGGATACACGAATCTGAAAAAACGTTTGTTTTAACATGACAAGAAAGTCTGTACTCTATGGTCAAGCATGTCTAAACTAGTGGGAGGGCGATTTAAAATTTTAGGTTAAATAAGCGTATTTTCATCATACCGCAGGGATTATGACTTCTTCTGCATCCCGCTTTTCTGCAAAAACTTCCGAAAACAACCTTTGTGGAAATGAATAGAATATTAACCTGGGAAGCGAAGAGAAATGTTTGCTGAGAAGCTCCTGCCGGGATTCATGTTGTGGAAAATCTACTGGATACTTCAGATGCTTCTTCTCTACATCCTTCCCCTTGTCTACGGAGTTCCAACCACTAAATCCTCCAAAACTTCCGGATTTTTGAATCGGAAATGGATTCAAGGGTTTCGGAAGCAGGCTCTCGGAAACTGTATTTGGTTTTCTGGTTGATGGGCGCATCGTAATATACGGAACAGATACCTTTCTGACCGGGGTCTCAATAGCTTGGAACAAATGATGGTTTTCATTGCTTGGACAGGAAGTAGCGACATCTTTGGTATTTACAGGCTGTTCTTCAAGATTCTCGGAGCTGTTGATCGTTTTAAGTTCTTCTTCTACTTTAGTAAATGTTTGGGATAAATTCTTCTGATCAGATAAGTCAGTATTACTTGCTGGAACAGATATCGGAGGTGATGCGATACTGAATATTTTGTGTCAGAAATATTTTAGGACTAAAGCTCTGAAGGCATTTTTTTTATTGTAAGAGGGATTAGCTTCAGAACCTCCCTTTGGATATCAATCATTTTTAAGATGGCAATGACAGATTTATACAACGGTGCCCATGAAACCTTATTCTAATTAAGAATGTCGAAGACAACACCAGTTTTCTGACTCGAAAGTCGTATAATTTTGATAATTTCTCCATTATTTCCTTTAAGCAAGAAATGCACAAGTAAATCACTTTTGCAGAGATACTTAAATAATATAACAGTTTTAACAAAAAAGACATGGATATCTAATTCATACTTGATCAGGCAAAGCTTTTAAGCTTTTTGTTGAAAATCGGGCATTGCCATCTTTGCATGGAGTCTCAAATTATGCGTACAGTCCCTTTAAGTAGGTGCATTGGTTGCTTTTTAGATAAAATATTTCAGATGTTTATGTATTACCAAGGTTTCAGATAAAAATCTGTATTTTTAACAGCTGTAGAAAATGAAATTTAATGAAAAATGTGTTGAATCAAAAATCTTATGGTTAAAAGTGCGCACTGGATCTATAAAATAGGAGGAATCTTATGAATTCATTTATCATCAAAATCTAATTATAAATTCTTATTGAATGAAATGAAGAAAAGAATGATTTCCAGCTTACACGGAAAAGTTTAGAAAAATATGTATAAATATATAAATATTTTCTAACACACCCTATAGGCCTCGGAGATGGAGGCACCTGGTAGCGTGTCATCTCGTCTATCTAACAAAAAGAATTTGGTTAAAACTGCATTTTTTCTTTATTGAAAAGAAAAAATTAAATGAGAAAACTAAATTTTTCTAAACCGCCAGAAGGCGAAATCCACAGCGGTAATTTTAAAATTTGTCAGCAATTAAAGGAACTATTAACATAATTTCAAGTGATCGTTTTTATTTATTTCAGCTCACAACGGTACACTAAAAAGATTTGTGTGATCAAGAATGAATAATCTCTCTATGTTTCTCTTTCAGATTTTCAATAATTTTAATTGGGTTCCTCTAAAAAATTTACTTCTCCCTTTCTGTCAGAATTAAACACCTTTCTGCACGGTAGAAAAACATTAACATTACACATTATTGATCAGATAAAGGTTCAAATAATACCTTTGTAAATCGGACATGCCGCTCTTGAAATGACGAGTCATTTGAAATTACAACGACAATTCCTTTAAGTTTCTAATCTACTGAAACCGACTGCCTTGTATTTTCACAATTTCTCTTTTGCCCAAGAGCAGATTTTGTTGCTCAATTATTTAGTCGGTGTTTCCATCAGACGACGCGACGCTCTAAATTGCTTCACTCCTGAGATTCAAAAGTTCTTCAAATTGTTGTGAATATTATTAAAACTGGTGAATAACCTACCCCAGCTAGATAAAGTGGATTTTCAAAGGCTCTGACAGGAACATCATAATCTGAGGACACTTGTCGTACTCTGTACAAACAAATAATTATGAGCTTTTTGAAAAAAGTTAAATTTAACTATTTAATTCAGTTTAAGTGTTTATCTATATTCTATTATAAATTTAGTTTGTTAGTTCGTATCCAATAGCCGTCATAACGGCTGAACCGATCGGGCCCAAATTTTGTATGGCCCCTTACATGACTCCAGGAAAGGTTAAATAAGCGACTAGAACAAGAATAAATATAAAAAGGCTCTATCAAACTTGCAGATTGAAGCCTTAAAATGTTCAACATATGTTAACTATAATCTTAGGAACCCAGTTTTCCCTCGAGATCTAATTTATTTTATTAAACCAAGCTTTAACTCTCCCAGGATCTAACGAGTGACCCGAATCAAAGTTTGAGGCAAATCGGTCCGAGGTTTATATAAGTTATGATCCGATGTATATAAAGCTGGACAGACAAACAAAGATGACCACGATAACTAGCTTTTATTAAAATAGTTTTCCTCGAGTTTTGATAAATCTCCGGTATTTGCTGTTCCTCTTCAAACCCGGGACAAACCTAAAATAAAAATTTTCCTACAAAATGACTCTTCTGATGCCCTCGCAATCTGGACTGGAATCAGAGGCGTATACAGTCCCATGGACTAAATCCTGAATACGCATCTGACTGGAATTAAGCCAATTTTTTAGTCAAAGTCTAATGAGGCGACTTTACATATATATCTCAAGAAAGTCAGACCACATTTTGAAAATAGCAGGACTAGGGCTATTTTGTTATTCTTGTTTCATCAATCATATTTATAAAAGTAGATTATAAAGTCGTTTGATTAATTATAAGTTAATTCCGGGTCTTTCTGATTGGGACTGTACTAACACCAGGGGCGTATAAACAGTGACTATATTAGAAAACTCTGAAATAGTATGACGACTGTTAGTGAAGTGTTAAAATAAATGTTTCCGTTAATTAGGGATTTTTTAAGTGTCTAGTAAAGCTAATTGTTAGAACATCAAATTTGTATTAAATGCCCTACTCCATAAAAATCTTTCAGACCCGTATCAGTCCAGGTACAACTTAGCTAACATATGATTGAAAGATGAACAAACAAGAAAATGCCAAAACAAGAAGAAAATGAAAAACAAGAAATGCCGAAATATTTCTATCTAATATCTTATTAATATTTAAAAATATTGTAAAATTCAATTAAAATAAATTATTAAAGTTAAAAATATAAGCATGGTTAAGCTAATTACAATACAGGTTTGACGTAATTATTTACAGACGTAGTTAGGCTAGGTTAATCGTATTACAAGTTTTGCGTAGTTAAGTATAAGCTCAATTAGATTTACAGACAATGTAAAACGTAATTTAGCTAGGTATGTTCAAATGTATAACTTTGGGATTTCATAGGGTATTTAATACAACTACTACTAGTATTGCTTTAAAATCCTCTTCCTATCTCAGAGTTTTCTGGTTATCAACGTACACTGGGGTCAAAGGCCACCCCACAAAGTGAAAAATATGATTTTCATGGGGATCTTGCCCTCAACGGGGGCTCCTCCTCCCCCATTGTAAAAAATTGCATGAATGAGCCACGAAAAACTTGCCTGAGCCGAGGTGAAAGATTTAAACTCCGTGTTGTTATTGTGAACTGCAGTACGGTTGTCAAAACCTGTTTTCGTTGTGTTGTTGTTATTGTTGAATTCTTGAGGATTTGACAGGTTTGGAATAAGATAACCATCAATACCTGGGATTTAAATCTTTCTTTTAAATAGAGCATAAAAATATCAACCATCACTCTGAAGAAATCGGAATAGGCTACCTGCTTTTTCATTTATGGATATCCTTGATTCTAAGTGTTCAAGGAAGGCCTTGAACACAAGATGGCTATCCATCAATCCATCAATCTAGGATGAATATTCGTAAATCTAAGATGGATATCTATAAATCTAAGATGGATATCTATAAATCTAAGATGGATATCTATAAATCTAAGATGAATATCTATAAATCTAAGATGAATATCCATAAATCTAAGTTGGATGATTGATATCAATGAATCTAAGATGGATATCTATGAATCCAAGATGGATATCCATGAATCTTAAGTGTTACATCCATGAATCTAAGATTTATATCCATGAATCTAAGATGGATATGTGTAAATCCAAGATGGATATTCATGATCTAAGATTTATATCCATGAATCTAAGATGAATATATGTATATAAATCCAAGGTGGATATTCATGAATATAAGATTTATATTCATGAATCTTAAATGTATATCCATGAATCTAAGGTGGATATCCATGAATCTAAGATGCATATCCATAAATCTTAAATGGATATCCATGACTCTATGATGGTTATCCATAAATCTAAGATGGATATCCAAAAATCTAAAATGAATATATATACGAAAAATATCCTTGAATGAGATTCTCCTGTGTTTAAAAATAAATTCAATTAATTATGCACCATGTAAATATGTTTTCTGTTAAAAGATGGATTCCTGTGGATGTATCTCCTGTTGTCCCAGATAGAACTAGAGGATACTGGTAATCATGACCCATCTCTGCTCCAGCCCTAAACCACACAATTTTTCATAAATAATCGAAGATTGGGTGAAGTAAAAGAAATAAGAAAAATTGTTAAGATCTGAAAGGGAACACGACATATCCCACTGCTAACAATACCTGAGTTTATCTGCTATATCAAGTAGATATCCCACTGGTAACAATACCTGAGTTTATCTGCAATATCAAGTAGATATCCCACTGCTAACAATACTTGAGTATATCTGCTATATCAGGTAGATATCCCACTCCTAACAATACCAGAGTATTCTGCTATATCAGGTAGATATCCCATTCCTAACAATACCTGAGTATATCTGCTATATCAAGCAGATATCCCACTGCTAACAATACCTGAGTATATCTGCTATATTAGGTAGATATCCCACTGCTAACAATACCTGAGTATATCTGCTATATTAGGTAGATATCCCACTCCTAACAATACCTGAGTATATCTGCTATATTAGGTAGATATCCCACTCCTAACAATACCCGAGTATATCTGCTATATCAGGTAGATATCCCATTCCTAACAATGCCTGAGTATATCTGCTATATCAGGTAGATATCCCATTCCTAACAATGCCTGAGTATATCTGCTATATCAGGTAGATATCCCATTCCTAACAATACCTGAGTATAGCTGAAATATCAGGTAGATATCCTACTCCTATCAATACCTGCGTATAGCTGCCATATCAGGTAGATATCCCACTCCTATCAATACCTGCGTATAGCTGCGATACCAGGTAGATATCCCACTCCTAACAATACTGGAGTATAGTTGCTATATTAGTTAGATATCCCCCTGCTATCAATATCTGAGGTAGATCTGCCATATCAGGTAGATATCCTACTCCTGACAATACCTAAGTAGAGCTGAAATATCAGGTAGATATCCCACCCCTAACAATACCGGAGTATAGTTGCTATATCAGTTTGATATCCCACTGCTATCAATATCTGAGGTAGATCTGCTATATCAGGTAGATATCCTACTCCTGACAATACCTGAGTATAGTTGCTATATCAGTTTGATATCCCACTGCTATCAATATCTGAGGTAGATCTGCTATATCAGGTAGATATCCTACTCCTGACAATACCTGAGTATAGATGCTAGGTCGGAGAAACCAGCACGTTCCGCAATCTCTATAGGTGTCATCCCATCCAAATTCGGAACCAGGATCTGCTTACCCCAACCTGGATATAAAAAAAACAGTGCTTAGGATCCGAATCCGGATCCGTTGGATCCGCAGCATTTAGGCTTCCTGGATCCGGATCAGTAAAAATATGCTGATCATGGATCAGAATCCAAGGGCAAAATGTCAAAAAAATGAAGAAAAAAAATCTGTTGCTCTCAAAACTTAAATCTGAACTGTTGAAAAAAGAGAGATTTTCGAAACTGTTCTTTTTCTGTTAAAAAAATCATTAAATCTTTAATAAATGTTCATTGCTTGGATGCAGATTTATATCAGGATCCATTTTTTTCCAGTGCGAATTCAGGATTCGCATCAAAATTAAATGGATCCTAAGCACTGAGTGTAAAACCATTGGTGAGAGTCCCAATTGAGTCATTATGACAGTTTGAATATTATTAAACGTTTTAATCAGAAATGAAGAAAAATTGATTCATATGATAAAAAAATTGAAAACATAAAATTAACTTTTATAAAAATATACTTATCAGAATTTTTCTCAAATAAAACCGATTTTCTAAATACTATGTTTAGAATAAACGATAAGAAATGACAAAAGAGCAGCAAAATAAAATTTGTGAGAAATATTTAATCCCAGGTTGTACAAACAAAGAGAATAGAAAAGTATAGAGAGGAATTAAGTCAAAAAAAAGTGTAAAACACCCATTTCGTTGTATTGTTTCCAAACTGCAGGTGTACTTCACACATTTGGGCCCTGGAACATCTTTTTATAAAAAAAATTCTTAATCTTTTTAAAAATTATCTCTAAATCAATTCTCTGACAACCTAGTATGCATTCCTGAGTTAATTTCAGCATAAGCTTAAAAATCCCGAGTTCATTTCAGCATAAACTTTTTACAACGAAGAAATTGTAACGGATATGTCCAGGGATCATACTGTATTATTGTGATGTACTGCGTGTAATTTGTGAACATTTATATAAATTGTATACATTGAACTCCTTTTCAGGCTCAAAGAGACTGAACAAATTCATACCGAGGGATATTTCCCTTCTATTATAATCTCTGTTCTGTGTGTACAGAGTTACCCACAACTGATGAGACTTCAGTGACGACTGTACTGTTTTCTTATTATTTCTGATTCCCGCAATTATATAAACTTGTTATTGTCTTTACTTCATCAATTATATAAACTTGTTATTGTCTTTACTTAATCAATTATATAAACTTGTTATTGTCTTTACTTAATCATTTATATAAACTTGTTTTTGTCTTTACTTAATCATTTATATAAACTTGTTTTTGTCTTTACTTAATCATTTATATAAACTTGTTTTTGTCTTTACTTAATCATTTATATAAACTTGTTTTTTTTCTTTTTTCTTTACCTAATCATTTATATAAACTTGTTTCTTTCTTTACTTAATCATTTATATAAACTTGTTTCTTTCTTTACCTAATCATTGGCTAAGTCATAAAATATTACATTAAAAACAGCAGCCTTAATCTAACCTTGAACTCGTCATATTTACAGAGTTTTAGGTCGTCTTTACAGTCTCATCCTTTGTGGGTAAAATAAATAACCCGGTATATATTGTATACCTAGATGTATGAGAGATAAAGCAACATTCTTAAATCCAAGATGGGCAGCCCAATGAAGAAGAGTTTCCCCGTTCAATCCTAAATATTATATCTTTATTCTTTTATAAACAGCGCATGGGATCTAATTCAAGCAATCTTGTCTCGAGATATCAAAAGCATAGTTTGAAACACCATCAAATATTCTTAGGTTCGTTTATCAACATTCAAACCTAGAGTTTATCAAAAGGTGTTTGATAAATAATATATACCTAGAGTTTATCAAAGATTTAATAATAACTAGAATCTATTAAAAGAGTTCAATAGTCAAGTTTTAAGAAGGGTACAATATATACAAAAGTTTATCTAAGGTTTAATATATACCTAAAGTTTATCATAGGTTTAATATATACTTATAAGTTTATCAAAGGTTCAGCCCATACGATACCTAGAGTTTATCAAGGTTTAATATACACCTTGAGTTTATCAAAGTTTAATATATACCTAAAGTTTATCCAAAGTGGTCAATAATCAACATATACCTATAGTTTATCAAAGGTTCAATATATACCTAGAGTTTATTAAAGTTTCAATATATACCTAGAATTTATCAAGGTTTAAAATATACCTGGAGTTCAATGTATACCTAGAGTTTATCAAAGGTTCAGGTCATACCCAGAGTTTATCAAAGGTTCAGCACATACCTAGAGTTTATCAATGGTTCAGCACATACCTAGAGTTTATCAAAGGTTCAGCACATACCTAGAGTTTATCAAAGGTTCAGCACATACCTAGAGTTGTATCCAAGGTTCAGCACATACCTATAGTTTATCAAAGGTTCAGCACATGCCTTGAGTTTATAAAAGGTTCAGCACATACCTAGAGTTTATCAAAGGTTCAGCACATACCTAGAGTTTTATCGAAGTCTTGAGTATGATTTGTCTGATTAAGATGAGAAGTGAGGAACAAATCCAGATCATGCATCGAGGAGAAATTTTCTCCGAAAGTTTCAGAGAAAATTTTCAACGGATTTGTCTAGAAAAATAATTAATAATAACAAATCAAAAAAATATTGAAAATTATATCATAACTTTTATATTTCCATTTTTTATATTCATTGCGACACAAAAAAACACATTTGACCTTTAATCAATAATAAACTAGCAAGGAATGTTTTTAATACAAACCAGTAAAGGTTTTTTTTTATCTTAGCAAAAAACAATAAAATTGGCAAGCAACGTATTTTTTCTGTGCCAATTAAGCAAAACTTTATTTTTATTTGCACATGTTGCCTATAGCCGGCCAAACGGCTGGACCGAATGGGCTGAAATTTTTTGTGGATAATTTTTTTCCAAATTTAATATTATTTTTTTAAATATTTTTTCCACAATTTTTTTAAAAAGTTTTTATTTTACGGGCAACGCCAGGCACTTCAGCTAGTTAATATTAAATTTTAACAGAATAAATTTATTCTTTTCACATTTCTAACAAGGTCTTAAAAATATGCGTCACATGAATCACAGAGCTACGAGAGGATGAATTAGTTTAGATTTTGAATGTCTTGATTTTTTTTGTAACCGCTCCTTTTAACCCAAATCACAAATCAGAAATTCTTCACTTTTTCAACTTCATAATTATAAACAAACTTAACTAATTTTTTTTCTTTCCATTTTACATTTTTCTGACGCACTTACAAAACTTTTTAAAAGCCTCGCACCCTTACTATCAAAATTAGAGGTCTATATTTTTAATGAGCTGGCCTTAACAAGTTTTATTATGACCAAGCATAAAATTCCCTCATCTTAACTCGAAGGGCAAAATATNGGGTAAACAAAAATAGCCCAATCACGATAGGGTAATTGTGTATTTGAGAAATTTTACCTGTTGGTTCCAGGCTGCTTCAAGAACAGTAAACCCGTTCTCAATCTTTAGTTTCCCTTCCCCCAGACAGTCCCTACATTTTAGGGGGGTATTAAAGGGACAGTTCACGACAATTTAAACATTTTTCTCTATTTCTTCATTTATTATGTGACGTGTTCGATTCACGATGGTACCTTTTAAACCCTTTTATCTAATCAATGATGTGGAAGATTTCATGGCATAAGTACGTATTTCTAGATTTATTTTTAAATAAAGTATAAATAATATAATGAATTCATTAATGTAGATTGTTACTTTGAAGAACGGTTTCATTCAGGCTTGTAACTGAATGTGGCGGGGGGAGGCACGCCACCCCCCCACCCCCAGTAAGACCATGGTTCCATTACATTTTTTATGTGATACTGTTTGCGATAATTTAAAATAAAAAACTAATACGAATTTTGACAATATTTGAAGAAAACGCAATTTTTAAACAATTTAAATGAAGACCTACTCAAAGGTTAAATAGTATTCAATCAAATCAAATCAACACAATTGTAGGAATGGCCTATAAGACTCCAGAAGTGGATCGGAGTTAAAGTCCTGTCCGTGTCCTGGTTCTTCAGAAATAAGCAAGTTTGTGAGAAAACATTCAACCTGTTTATAAATAGTTGAAGCGTAGCTATTGTGGATATGGAGAGAAGTACATCTGTTACCTCTAAACATTATCATTATCATCGTTTCAGATTCAAGTAATCTTCCATTTAAAGATTGGAACATGCCCGATTTACATCGGTAACCTTCAAACCTTTATCTGATCAATTAAGTGTAACACTGCGTCGTTTTTCTAGCTTGAAAAGTGGTTTGTTCTGTTAATTTCTCCCTTTCTTCTAAACAAGAAATGCGCAAGCCACTCTGTAGACAAACCGCAAATGAAAAGAACAGCTTTACAGGGAGTGTTCGCGGAAAATGAAAGGGGGTATAGGCTTATGGCGAAAAATAATCGCAACTTTCTGAATTTGTATGGACGCTACGTTCTTCAGTATAGGTCATTTTTAACAATTTTCTCCTTATAGACGCAACATATAGAAGTAAGATTAGTAGCGATCAAAAGCGATTATTTTTCGCCGTAAACCTATACCCCCTTTCATCTTTCGTGAACACTCCCTCTAAAAAACAAAACATCAATATCTATCATCTACTTCATACTTATCAGACAAAGCTTTTAAAGTGTACCGATGTCGTTCGGCGGATATGCCACTCTATCTAGGNCCATAGGACAATCCATTATTTAGTAAAAAACCTTACAATCATAAAAATTGAGAAATCACAATAAATAGAGACTTTCTCCAATTTCATGGAGGGTGTTGTTTAAAGAAAAATAACTAGAGCTTTATTACCTATCTGAAAGATGTCGTCTTTGAGTAATTTATACTCCTCTACGTGAAACACTTTATTCCCCACGACGAAGACGACCTTGAACTCATCCGGGGAAGGTTGAGCAGTGTCAAGAATAAGAAGGATCTTGTTCTGACCAGGATTAACTTTACGCGGGAAAATCCGGAATGTTGTCTCGGAAGGTACGGTCTTTTTGCAGGTCTTAAACAAAAAAATAAATAGTTTTGATTTGAAAATGATGTGATTTATAAAATATGTCTACCTGAAGCAGAAGATTAGCATGTGTTGAAATCTGTTTTGTTACTTCTTCGTTCTCTGCCTCGTTCTTCAGGTCAAATACTTTCCAATCAGAATACCTTCATCAATATAACTAATAATTCAAAAATTCCAATTTTACTATCTTACTTTTAGTAAATCAGATACAGGGTTACCCATAAATAATGAGACTTACGACTGTAGAGAATTTATTCATGTTTCTCACATTTATGGTTTTTCTCAATAGAAATTTGTCAATAAATCAATGTTAGAATCAATTATTTCTTTTTCATCATCATATTGAATTTCTTATTTTTTTTATGAATTTGTTCGCAGATTTCTTTTAATTCTTCAAAGGTCGTCTTCACGATAAAAATCTACGGAAAATGTTTGAGTGCATTGAGACATTACAATAAGAGTAATTTTTGTTTACTCAACCTGTTCCTAAACAACTAATTAGTTTACTATAGAATTTGTTACATTTCTCGTGGTCGTCCATGGAATAATTCAAAAAAACCTGATTCTCAAAATCATCCCTTCTAAATTGAACAATCTATGAGCAGGGGCGTACGAGGGCTTTTGTTTATCTTGTGTAATGAAGTATTCTCTTTAGAAGGCTAAAACTTTTCTCTCCTTGTATTAACAGTGAATTCAGACAAATCCTTAGTCTTTGTCATTGTCAGGTGTTACTTTTTAAACGTAGTTTCCTTTTAATTTTGTATTTTCCAAGGGGGCAGTGCCCCGTCTGGAACTCCCAGGGGGGGCAACAGGACTACTGCCCTCTAGGTACGCCACTGTGCCTGGCCTGAGGAAGGGAAATGCAAGCAGATGTAATATTAAAAGAGCCTCCCTCATGGGTGCCCCCTCTTAGCCTCTCAGGGGGGCAAGCGTAGAGGGGGGCGGGGGGCGCGGCCCCCCCCTCGTAAGCCCCTGTCTATGAGAATTTTAAAGATTGAATTTGCGCTCTTGCTGAACAATTATGCACCGTAAAAACGTCTCTTATGTCTTAAATGAATTCTAAAAGATTTCTCTACAATAATGCATTTTCAGCTCAATTATCTTGACTAGCCAGACACTCCCTTTCACAATACGATCTCAAATCCCATGTTAATTGAAAACCCCTGAATTTGAACTACCTGAGCTGATTAAGATGAAGAGGGGTGAGATCTGTATCAAGAACACCAAGCATTAAACCCAGAACTTTAGAAGGTTGAATCAGTCTTCCAATGTTTAAATTCCACCTCTCAACCTAGTGTTCATAAAAAATCATACATCTATAAATATACTAATTACTTGCCTGTTTGTCTATATGTGTTTTGTGTGGGACTCCAAGGAAGGTATAGAGACAATCAGAATTGAAAAAAAAATAAAATAAATATATCGACATTTTTTTTTAAATTATATAATTATAATAATAAAATCTGCCAAAAGAGAATGATTTAAAATGGCCAACTTTTAAAACACAGTTAAAAGCTAATTTTTTTAATAGGAAAGATGGCGCGAAGCGAAGTGTCAGCCTTGTACCATTTTACACTTTTAAGATCAAGATTTTCAGATTACTTTGGTACGCATCTTCAAGGGTTTTTTGTACTTCACAAGTTAAAGAAAAGAGTTTTTTCTTACTTTCAAAATCAGTCAATTGAACGCATTGCAGCTATTGTGAAGGTTAATTCACAACGGGCGAACTTATTTTTTTCTCCAAACTATATCAACATTTTTTGGTTAAAAAAATTCATCCATATCGACATGAAATTTAAGAAAAAAAGATCTACAATCTTTTAAAACGCTTTTGATTATCTGTTTTTTAAAAATAAAAAATAAATTCAGAACGCTTTTTAGCACGCTAATATTTTCAAAAAACCTTTGTTTGAATCTTTTACAAAAAAGTCATCTTAATAATGGTCAAGTTTAAAGATTATTAAATATGATAAAACCCACAGTAATAACAATAACAATAACAATAACAATAACAATAACAATAACAATAACAATAACAATAACAATAACAATAACAATAACAATAGCAATAGCAATAATAATAACAATAACAATAACAATAACAATAATTACAATAACAATAACAATAACAATAACAATAACAATAATATTTAATAATAATAATAATAATAATAATAATAATAATAATAATAATAATAATAATAATAATAATAATAATATAATCATACCCAGTCCAAGAATTGTGGGCTTACTATCAGAATTTGAAGAGTTGCATGATAAATCCTCTCCTCACATATCCTAAAAATGAAATTAACAAAAAAACTTTAGTTTACTTGTATGATAAAGATAAAGAGATTAAATCTGTAAGCCTTCCAATTTTGGAAGACCCAGACCGCCCAAGGAGAGTACACCAGTTTATTGGTTCACTCATCCACGCCAAACTACTGTAGCTTCCCTTCATAATTCATACAGCCTTGATGTGGTGCTGTTTGATTATGTACTTTAACACTCCCTTTAAGAAACGCCAGTCATTTTCTTAAATTTGTGACAGTATCTACCACCACCGCACATGAATGATGTTTAGCCCCTGGATTCTTTGTTTAAATTTCCTCCAACATACAGTTCACAAATTTGACGCATCAGATATAACAGTTCCTTTATCAATGTCAATGTATTTCTTGCCTGGACCCAACCCGCTGACCAAGTCCTTCACTAATCTCTTCTACGGGTTGGCCTCGAACTCTCGTCGCACTGAAATATTTAAACTTTTTATTGAACTTTGAAAATTCTTCAAGAAATAAAAAAAGTAGGAAACCAGAATTGTACATTTGGTTCCAACGATTATTTTCTCATCCTTATAACTTTGCAACCTGATAAAACTTTGACAGGTTTTATGTTTTAAAGTTCATGCTAAAGAGATGTCATTTAGCTATTAAAATAAAATTTAAATATAGACTTTGAGTCAAGTACTCAGTTTCTTTATTAAAAGATTGGTCGGCTAGAGAAAGAAAATCTTATAAGTATTTGTTGGTTGATTGCTTACAACAAATAAGAAATAAGGAACAAATATCTTTGACCACACAAAGGGGGATTATGTCGTGTCAGATTTTAATATGTGGCTTAATCCCCCAAGAGAAGGAAACCCAGTATTCAATAAACGTCAAAACGGCTGAACAAACCTGACCCCAGGGAAGGGGAATGGATGCTAAGAATTACAAAAATTGTCTCTAAAATTTAGAATTTTAGTATAATTTTAAAAATCCACGATAAAAAATTGTAAATCCGTTAGATTTTTATTTTTGTTTTATCAAATAGAAAATGCTGAAAGATTGAGCAACATTTAAAAATTAAACTAAAGTTAATTTAAACTAGTAATAGTTGGTAAAGAAAAAATTACAAAAAAATACTTTAGAAAGTTTACCTGTTCAAAAGAATAATTTTGCTGAAATATTTCATCCAATTTTCACTTTGTTTACACAAACAACTGAAAATAATTCCTGTATGCACATTTCACAAATTAAATTAAATTAAATGTTGTTACCTATATATAATTATTACATCTGGGATCTCTTCAGGATCAAATCCACCACAATCCTAAACAAATTTTATTTCATTTGCTTTTTGAATTTTATATTTTGCATTTCAATTGTTCAAAATCTTTAAATATACCTGATGTAAGACAATTCTTGGTGGTTCCATACCCTTGACTCCACCACGTGGAGGAAACCCATGATCAAGGAAACTACCCCCTTCAGCCTGAAATTGTGTTCCCTCCATGGGAAGTCCAGCGCCTCCAACCCAAGAATGCCGCGCACCATCTTCAAAATTCGCACGAATTTCTCCCGCGTGTTGAGTATCTGTTCTTGGCGCATTTTTTAGGAAACCGCCTTGGCTTTGTGCACCAGAGGATGGGTGATCTGTGAACCGAGAACTAATAAAAACTATTTAAAAAAGGAATTCTGTTTTATTTTGGATGGACAGAAAATATTTTAGTGTTAAAATACGGATCCGTAACATTTCGGCATCTATGAATTTGAAATTTGGATTCTCAAAATACATGCGGATACATACATGGATTTAAATTGTAATTGTAATTTAAAAGCAAGAATTGCATTTTTTCGATTCTAAAATTGTTGAAAATTCCAACGAACAGAAATGTGAAACCTAAGCAATGCATTGATAGTATTTCAAGATAAATGTGTGGGGTGAGTTGGNGCAATGCGCATTGAGCAATGCGCATAGAGCAATGAGCATTGAGCAATGAGCATTGAGCCTAGTCTTATTGGAGATGAGTCCTAAAACATATTAAATATTTATCAAAGGGATCAGAAGTGTGACTTCAAGTGATCCTCTACAAACATGACAATGCCCGATTCACAGCAGTATACACTTGAAACTTTAATCTGATCAATAATCCGGTTTTTAAGTATTTAATTCTGATAATTCCTATATTTTTATCTGTAGTAGAAATGCGCAAGTGACTTTTTTAGAGAAACCGCAATTAAAAATAATCAGTTTTCAAATTATAAACATTTTCGGTCAAGAATTTATTTGATCTCATAAATTATTGAACCTGTATGAGTGTTGTCCTGAAGAGAGGGCAGTGTGGATATAGTTGAGGATACAGAGTTCTGTCTGGAAGGTTCTGAAGAGTGCCTAAGTGGCCCTCCTGCCAGAATAATACAGTAAGAACAATAAAACTATGGAATGAATGTCACTTTTGTTGTTCCTTTTACTGAAGTAACTTTGTGGCAACCATACTCTAACCTTTCTCCGGATCCTGGGGGCACTTTTTATTAAAGTTGCAAGAATCAAAATATTGATCACGACATTTTGTAAATAAAAGAAATAATAGGGCGACGAAAATTCCACCGGTTTCTGATTCTCAATGTATACCTTTTATTTTAATGATTTAGCATAGTTGCTAATTAGCTTTACAGATCAAGGAACAATTAAAAAAATCTACATAAATGGAAATAATAATAAAAAAAATAACAGGGGAATAGGACTAATTTTGGTTAAATTAAGACAGGACTGGTTGTATCAGTGATTTTAAAATCTTTTTATCATAGTTATACGAAAAGTGATTAGAATGCGTAGATCTAAAAGAGAAGAACAAAAAAAACAGATGTAAGATCAGATAAAAAAAAGACACAAAAAAGAAAAAATTCACTGCTCTTTTCAAATCAAAAAAAAAGTGTTCAATTAAAAATAAATTGTTAATAAATAATTAAAAGAAAATTGCTTTAAAAAAGCTGAAAAAAAAACTCAAAAAGTAGTAATGATTTATTNGAACTATACAAATTGGTCTCTGTAAATCTGGTCCCTGTAAATCTGGTCCCTGTAAATCTGGTCCCTGTAAATCTGGTCCCTGTAATTTGGTCCCTGTAATCTGGTCCCTGTAAATCTGGTCCCTGTAAATCAAGTCCCTGTAGATCTGGTCCCTGTAAATCTGGTCCCTGTAAATCTAATCCCTATTTTCCAAAAAATGTACCTTTAGGTGCAGGTTGTGGCCTAAATGATTCCGATTGATGACGAATGATGTTTGAGAGAGATGTTGATGGACTAGAGGTAGAGTGAGGAAGAGTGGATGGGATGAGCTGACTGGATGATGTGGAATGAAGGGTTGAGGATGGAGAAAATAATGAATAAGTAAAATTATTTTCAGTTGGAGTTTCTGGGGTTCTTAAAGAATCGGAATCTGTAGTCCCTTCGCGCCTGAAAAAATTCATAAATTACATTTTTACTATATCCTTACTAAGCGGAAAAACCTGTAAACACGTATGACATTCGTATTTTTAGGTTTGGAATGCGTAAAAATATGTATTTTCCATACGTGTCTATCCATGACATACGTATTTCCGTAAACATTTCCTTGGTGAAAATACGTATTTTATATCCAAAAAATTGAAAAATCAGTTAATATTTAAAAAATTTAACTTTAAATATCATTTTTGTTCAGTTGAGGTTTCGTGAAAATATTGACACTCTGAAAAATTAGTTGGCATCAAAGTTTTCATCTCTAAAAAATACAATTTAAGTAAAGAAAGAAAAATCCGAAAAATACGTAAAAATACGTAAAATAAAAACCTATAAACTGAAAAAAATTACTTGGTAAAAAGTATACGCAATTCTTCGTAAAAATACGTTTCTGGAAAACCAAAGCACTAAGAAAAAAAACGCTTGGTATGATAAATACGTAAAAATACGTAAATATACGCAAGTTCTTTACCAAAAAGTTGAGCGTACGAATTTTTACGTTAATATACTTAAAAACAAGTATACCAATATATAAAGGCTTTAGTATTTTTAGGTTTTCGGTTTATAGAAGGGATTTTCTGCGGATAAAATAATAATTTAAAGGGAGTGTTCAGGAGTATAATTCTCATCTCTAGAATGGAAATATTATAAAGGGAGTGTTCAGGAGTACAGGCTTACGGCGAAAAATAAGCGCTTTTGATTGATACTGATTTTACTTCTATCTGTTTTTCATTTTAAGAGAGTTACTTTTGAAAACATTTATTCCTGTTTCGAGGATTTTTGATAAAGAAGACGACATTTTCACATTTTCCAGGAATGTTCGAAAATCCAGCACCAGCGAAATATTACAAAAAAAATCAAAAATACTATGAAATATGAGTCGTTTTTAACCATTTTCTCCTTATAGACGCAACAGATAAAAGTAAGATTAATAGCAATAGAAGCGCTTATTTTTCGCCGTAAACCTAAACCCCCTTTCATTTTTCGCTATAGCTCCCTTTAACAATGAACAAAATTTTAGTGTTTTCAGTGCACCGTAGTGATACATTTTTAATCTATTCATATAAAATTTATTTAAGAGGGATAAAATGCGCCCCTTTTCTTTCCAGGGGGGGGGCACTTCCCCTCCCCTTCAGCCGCAACCGCATCATCATACTTAAATTGTAGAAGAAGAAACATTTGTTTTGTATACATATGGTTCTTTTAATAAAAAGGAACCAGACATTTTAGGTTTTTTTTTGAAGAAGAACATTTTAATAAATTATTTTATTTGAAATTATTTGAACCTGGATCCGGTAGCAAACAGTCGTTTAAGAAAAGAAAGTTTATGTTTCCCTTTAGGTTTGGCCTCCTTCACCAAACACTTTTCAATAGATTCAAGATGTTGTAGAAGCTGGACATTTCTTTCTCGTTCATCACCTGCACGTTGCTACATTAATATATTACAATTTAGAGTCTATAAGCTATATGAGCATAGATCTATGAGCAATGAGCAATGAGCATTGAGCATTGAGCAATGAGCATTGAGCAATGCGCATTGAGCAATGCGCATAGAGCAATGAGCATTGAGCAATGAGCATTGAGCAATGAGCTAAGAGCTATGAGATGTGAGCAATGAGCATTGAGCAATGTGCATTGAGCAATAAGCATTGAGCAATGATCTATGAGCTATAATGAGCTAAAAGCTATGAGATGTGAGCTATGAGCTAAGAGCTATGAGCTATGAGCTTGAGCTCCATGAGCTGTGATCTCTGAGCTATTAGCAATAATCTATGAGCTATGAGCTATATCTCCCCCTATAATCTAGTTGACCCATGGTGGAGACACTCACCTATATGTCACAAATAATAGTTGTTGACTATATAAAGAAACTGAAGTAATTTGAAACAAACCGCAAAGAAAAACGAATTGCTTTGGCCTGACCGTGGAAACACAGTTTACGACACCCAAGGTTATAATGCAAGGAAAGTTATTTCAATCAATCTTTCACATAAAAAATCAATGAAATATTCTGGTCATAGGAGACTATTGAGTGAATTATCAAAATTATCAAAATTTAATGCCTTTAACCTCATCGGATACTAAAAGAACACTGATGCATCTATTCTTGTTTACAAATTCCAACCAGAGAAAACTGGTTACAATATGTACGCAGAGTATACGTAACTGCAATTAACTTTCCTTGCATTATAACCTTGGTGACACCTATCTAGGTCGGAACTTAATTTATTAAAATCTAACTGGTACCATAAAGCGGTCAGCCCTGAAATTTCGTCCTAAGTTTTAATATGTACACAGATTATATTTTAACCTGTAGGCTCGGATGTAAACGTAGGAAAAGCTTCATCGTCGATTACACCGGCTCCTTCCATTCATGGGTCAATATCTGAAAAAATAAAAACATAAATTTGTAATAAAAAGTATCTTAAGCAAATAAAACGTGTAAAGATGCGCTGTACCAATTATTTAGACCCCCCCCCCTCCCCATCCACTGTATAAATCCCTTATTTTAAGAAATTACCGACTCGGAAAATTTTAAACAAGATTAACAGTAGATGGAAATCTATGAAATTATTCTTCTGCAATTATCCTTAAATATAATTGAACTTTTGCGTGTTATCCGTTGCAAATCGTTTGCCAGATTTAATTGATAGGGGGGGAGGGGGTGTAACAATTTAAGATACAAGAAATTTATATAAAGGGATGCTTAATAACATACATAAAAGATACTTGTACACTGTGCAGTATACGTACACTTTACAGCGTACGTAAACTGTACGAAAATGACAGGAGGGGGGCGGGGTCAAACATCGTTTCATTTTCTCTACTTAAGACAACCCTCCACCCACTGGGAAATTTCCTAGAGAACGATTTTTGGACCCCCCCCCCTCCTATCAATTTTGTACATGACCACTTTTACAACAATTTTCAATTAACTTATTAGGGTTAGTTTAGGTTAAGGCACTTTCTGGGCCGAGCGCTGCAGCCACGGGTTAGGTTAAATTAAACAACTTTCTGGGCCGAACGCTGCGGATAGGACAGGCTAGGGGGCCGAGCGCTGCGGCCACATGTCTTACATTTAAGATCCATGGACAAAATTGATAGGAGGGGGGGCTGGGGTCCAAAAATCGTTCTCTAGAAAATTACCGTTCTCTAGGACAGACCCCAATTTTTAACATGAAGCTTATGTTTCACAAGTACAATAGGACAGACCCATCCCCTGGAACCTAAACTCTTTAATAACCAAACATTTTTAATTTCCATTATAACTGTTAAATTTGTGACGTGGACCACATAGAAATTTCACTGTAAACATGCTAAATAATCAATTGGGACAGAGCGTCCAATATCATATATATTATCTCCAATCTTTAACACCAAAATAAACCCTTAATACTCGAAAAACTTATCCTTTTCCGCAAGAAAATTCTTATATAAGCCTTATGTTATTTTTCAAAATGATTCATTCTAATGAAATTTTCTAATTAGTCCCGAAAATCGTAATTTAGACCCGTTCTCGGTCTAATATGATGTGGGACACCCTGTATATTCCTAGAGAACGATTTTTGGACCCCCCACCCTCCTATCAATTTTGTACATAGGTCTGACAAGAAGTGTCTTAACTTAACCTAACCCGTGGCCGCAGCGCTCGGCCCCCTAGCCCATCCTAGCCGCAGCGCTCGGCCCAGAAAGTGTCTTAACTAACCTAACCCGTGGCCGCAGCGCTCGGCCCCCTAGCCCATTCTAGCCGCAGCGCTCGGCCCAGAAAGTGTCTTAATTCCTAACCTAACCCTAAATAACAAAAAAATAAATAATAATAAATTTGCTGAAAAATAAATGGTCATGTACAAAATTGCTAGGAGGGGGGGGGGGGTCCAAACATCGTTCTGTAGGACCGACCCATAATCTTAACAAAAAAAGGGAAATGATTACGCAGAAATATCTTAACAATTAATGATTAATGAATAAGATTGATTGATTAACGTTTATTTCTATGTGCATCCAAAGGCGAGCACCTTAAATGTTAATGAAAAATTGTTTAGCAGTCAAGAGCTAGGTGATCCGTGGACTAAGTGTCGTCTTTAGATTAATCAATGAATTTCTGAAGAGTACAAAACAATGAATGAACTATGAAGTATGAATAAAAAGTGTACGGTATTTACAAACTTCATCAAATAAAGGCTTCATTTCTTATCTTTCAGCTTTATCCTTGTTTTATATCCTTCATTATAGTCATTCATTTTACATTAGCTACAAAGATCTGTAAAAAACTGAATTTCTTTTATTTTAACTAAACTTTTTATATTAAGTTTGCTGGCAAACAATGACAAAAAAGGCAGTAATATAAAAATAATAGTTTTTATTTAAGTATAACATAAAAATAGTTTTACTCTAAGGGAAAAAGATGCAATTTTAAAATTTTTATTTTTTATTTTAGAAAAGCTACTCTGCAAAACTTTGAAAAAATATTGTCTTTGTTTATATTCTAATTTCTAATTTATAAAATTTTCTTGCCGTCAATGTACTAGTTATATATGTTAATTTCACTATATTTAAAGAGAAATGTCTTACTTTTTAAAATTTAGTTGATAATTTTAACATTTTATTCCCGCCACCGTTTAAAATTAGCAAAATATACAAAATGCAAAAAATTAAAGATTTCCAACTTTAAAATTGAATGCCAACATAAAAAGGCGATTTATTTAATTTAGTATTTTTGAAATTCTTTTTGGCATTGATATATTATTAGAAGTTATAATTATTAAAATGGTTATTGGTCTTATGAGAAATCATCCATAAAATATTCCAAAAATATTAATAAAATTTAATAGAATTATTAAATGCTTTTAATTTTCTGAACTATTAAGTTCTCTGCATGGTTTTCTGGTCTCAGTTTACCCTGGGTAAGTCAGAAAACACAGGGTGGACCCAGTGTTTTCATTTCTTGACACTGGTGTAAATCTACCCAGTGTAAACTGTACGTTGTTGTTGTTTGAACCAGTGTAATTCATGACTATTAAATCCGATCCTAGGTAAACACCAGTGTAAATGACAGTTTACACTGGTGTAAATCCTTTATTAGAACGGCCTTCTATGAACTATACAAATCTTGTACACTAATTTAGCTTTCTCAATTAAAATCAAAACAAGAAAACGCTTTTAACTTTTCAATACGAATTGTTTATTTTAAACGACCCGGCGATTTCGCTGAGTTAGAGTTGTGTTGTTATAAAGTCTTAATTGAAAGCCTTTATGCATGCATATCTGAAGCCAGCTAGGCTTAAACTGTTTATTTTAGAACCGGTCACATTTAGACATGATTACTCACTGAATTATAACACTGCATCTTGCTCCCAGGTTTTTATGATAAACATTAAACAGTAGACAGACTGATTCACACATGCTCTATTAACCGACCTACGCAGATTTATCCAAGTAAAAAGGTTCCGAAATATGCGTAATTTATCATGAGCATTGTTACGAATTCTTGGGGAAATTTTAAAGTTTTCTATATGTTCACAACTAGAGTCTGCAACTACAGATAACATTTATACTTACGTGCGCGCAAAAGTTTTGCGCGACGCGCCCTGTTATAGAATAAATGCAAAGGATTTCTACGACATGGAAAATCAGTTCCCATGTCCCAAGATATATTATCAATCACAACATTATCGTATACACATCACATGGGGGGGGGGCAATATAGCGTGCCCCGGTAATTTCCTAGTATACGATTTTTGGACCCCCCCAGGCCCCCCCCTACCCTCCCCCCTATCAATTTTGTACATGGGTCTGACAGGAAGTGTCTTAACTTAACCTAACCCGTGGCCGCAGCGCTCGGCCCCCTAGCCCATCCTAGCCGCAGCGCTCGGCCCAGAAAGTGTCTTATAACTAACCTAACCCGTGGCCGCAGTGCTCGGCCCCCTAGCCCATTCTAGCCGCAGCGCTCGGCCCAGAAAGTATCTTAACCTAACCTAACCCTAAATAACAAAAAAATAAATAATAATAAATTTGCTGAAAAATAAATGGTCATGTACAAAATAGATAGGAGGGGGGGGGGGGGGGGGCTGGGGGGGGTCCAAAAATCGTATACTAGGACAGACCCCGTGCCCCCTCTGGAATTGTTGGGCAAAGGTTAAAATCGGTTTTGATAAGTAAAAAAAAAGCTTTCCCCACCTGCGAATAGGTGCCCCGACCCCCCCTAAAAAGCATAGTTAACATTTTCCCTGGCACTTAGAACCATTTATTTTCCAATTTAATCTTATTATTTTCATTTCATCAAAAATCGCACATCATACCGTACCTCTTCTCTTTATATGCTTTCTCTTAATTACAGATACTTGATATTATATACCTAAAGCATTATGTTCGGCAAGTCTTCACACAACCCCCAATGAAGGCCAGGGTGGAGACCATACGTTAGGGGAGGACTGACGTGGAGAATAAAGAGAACGGAGCTGACTATAATAATAGTCTTCATCACGAGTCTTCTCAGGACTTCAGTGACTGTGAGTAATACAAAAATATAGTGTGATACAAAAGGGACAAATGTACTTCAAAAAAAAACAACAGCAATTTAAAGACCGGGGGAGGGGGGAGGAAATTTTACGAAAATTGAATTCAAGGTGAATAATGTCTTTTCCTTTCCAGGTGTGGGAAAGAATATGTATTCTTAATTGATTCCTTTACCCTCTCGATTGATTTTCAATTAACTAGCTGTAAGGGAAGAAAATTCAACCAGAATTCTATTCTTTTTCCTTTTTTTATCTCAAGGCTAGTTTTGGAAAAGAAAATTCAAAATGAATTGAACTTCTTCTCTTTTTATAGTTTTCTGGATTACCGAATTTTTTTCTTCCTGTTCTTTAAAAAAAAATTTTCTTCGCTGCGAGATTGGGGGGGTGGGGGGTGGAGTAAGAATATGTGTAAAGTACACCCCTTAAAATGTCGTCTTCCTATTTTACAGTTTTATGTCTACCACTGACTGGTGACTGTGAGTCAGAATCTAAAATCATAAGCTATTTGAAATTGAATTAAAAAGTTTTGGATATTTTATAAAATGTTTTATTTCGAACAGGACATATTGAAAATATAAAATATTTATTTTAGAGTATTGACGAGAAAATGTCTACAGATTACATGTCATTTAACTACAAATCAGGTGTCTATATTTAAATTTTTTTTTATGTGAAGAAAATTATAATTTGACATAAAAAGCAATTTTTTCCCGTAAACATTATTTGCTTTCCCCATTTGTGAGAAAAAAACTGAAAGAAAATACATGTTTATAAAAAAATGTTCCTGGATGGGAGAGAGAAATCGGTAAAAAGGGTAGAACATTTCGGACTCTAAACTCCCCCCCCCCTTAAACAAGAAATCAAGCAACTCTCTGCAAATATGTCCTTTTGTTTTGCTTTGTCAGCTAAAAATCTAATTTATTTTTTCAAAAAACTTTATTCTCTTTTTATTTTTCAGAAGAGTATCAGCCCAGCAAATAAACAGCGATCACGACTCTAGTAAAATTTCTCAAAGGTAAAAATTTGATATTAAACATTTTTTAAATCGAAGTGAAAGTTAACGACGTCGTAATTACAAGTGATGAACAACGTTACTCTTAAAACCATGATTTGCTCGATCGTCGTTATTCTGGCTTAAAGAGTGTTTAATTCTAATAATTTTTTCATTGTTTCGGAAGCAAGTTCTTTGCATGGAGAAACCACAAACCAGTTTTAGAAAACGTAAACAAGCCTTTCATATAATTCATTATTGATCAGATAAAGCTGTTTAGTGTACCATTGTAATCGGATATGACACTCTATCCTTGGTGGGTCACTTACAAGATATTTTACAATGTACATTCAATTCACTTAACATAAAAGAAAATTAGAACATCACAAGTTGGTAAATTGTATTTTCTAAAACTGAAGATTTGGCCGTATTGGTGAAATATAGACGATTTAAGAATTGCTCAGTAACGATTGAATCTAATGATAATAATAATAATAATATCATATATCATATATAATAATATCATATCAAAAGAAAATTCGTTGTTTCTGCCCTTTTTGATGTCAAGTTACTCTCTTAAGTTAAAAATATCGGACAAATCTTTTCTTTGTTATTGTGTGTGACTAGCTATATAATTACATTTTTTATCTAAGTTTATGATTTGATAAGGAATCGGGAAAGACGACATTTAAAAACAAATCAAGCTTCAAGAAAAGGAAGTCAATTGACAAAAACTGATTTTAATCTTTTTAGATAATATACCAATCAAAATGGCTGAAATTGAAAGGGGGGGGGGATTTTAGGGCGACTTACTTCATAACTCGTGGTTCATTTCGTCAAAATCATTAATTTTTCTCGAAATTTAATCTCCAACCCCCCAATAGGAGATTAAATTGTATTTACAAAAATTAGTTAAAATTTAGCTTTCTAACTTTCTAGCTGTTTTATTGTATTTCTTAGGTGTATTGTCCATTAAGGCTTCAAATTAAAAATCTGATTGAAGACGACATTCTGATCTTAAGTATGCATTATTTCAGATTAAATTTAATTTTAGTTACTGTACCATTTTTCACGTGGGTTACATTTTTTTAGTATTTGCTCTCACGTGCGTATTTAGGAATTTGTCCTGGGGGGGGGGCTAAAATAATTTCTGTCTAGGGTGGGGCTCATCCTTTGCTGGGATACAGAAAAAAAAACCTGGACATCATGTAGATGATCCTTATTTTTTCTACTCCTTTTTCAGCCTAAACCAAACATGTCTTTTTTCACTTTATATTACACTTGTTTTCCTACAATGTTTTTTTTCTCGTTTTAGTTCACCATTTTATTGGTCTCTGTAACTGTTCTATAAACATTTTATTTGTCTTACAATTAATTTTGTGTACTGTTTTAAAGGGACTGAATTAGTGTAATGTTAAGTGACCCTCCATGCAAAGATGGCTATGCCCAATCAACAAAGGTAAATTCTTACAATATAAATTTGGTAAAAGTTGAAGCCTTAAACTGAAATGAATGAGTCCATAAAGATGAGAAAAAATGTATTTACAGCTTATAAAACAGACAACATTTGATACTACACTTCTAGTAATCAAGCCGGAGCTTTGACGGACTATCCACACTTCTTCTGGGAACAGAAATAGTGTATTTAAAATTCGGTGATGGTGATGGACCAAACCTTTGTAGAGTAAAAAAGTAGATGTTATAGTTCCACATTTATTGAAAATATATCTCGGTCTGGGATGACCCTCGTCACTCGTCAGTTATAAATAGTTTACTTTAAGCCATTGAAATTGTCAAAAAATAGTTTGATAGATTGGTAGAGAGGTCTTATGTATTGTAGCACCGAAACCCCGCTTAGCAAACCGGTTTCTGATCCACAGTTTGCGCAGGCGCACAGGTAGGTATTGGAGGAGAGGGGAATTATATCTATCTATCATTCTTTTATCTATCTGTCTTTCTTTCTCATCTGATTCTGAAAGTCTCGCTTAGACTCTTAGTTTAGTTTAGAGAGAGTAGCTTAAAGGAGGCCGATACAGCCTGTGTTTAAAGTGAAAGGAGGGGGAAAGGATAAATTGTGAGTGAACCCTGGTTACTAATTACTATGTGCTTAAATGCAAATGAAATAATCGTGATTACTAATTTGTGATTAGAGTATAATTGCTATAGACATAATACGGTAAGTTTTTATAAAAATAACTAAATAAATTCGAAAATGTGCTAAGCATTTTGATAAAAATAGAATCTAAAACTAGGAATTTCATAAATGCATTAATATTTGTCTTGACTTTCCAGAATGTTATCTTGACTTTACATGATATTATAGCTTGACTTTGCAGAATGTTATCTTGACTTTACAGGGTATTTAGCTTGCCTAGTCATTAAGAAATGTTTAGCTACATCATACCTTGATACCTCCTTAAATTCCATAATAATCAGTCTCGACTTCAATTCGAATAAGTTTTTGTCTTTTTTTATATTATTATAAAAAATGTATTCTATATATTCTATTTATAAACTTGTGACTCAATGTGTATTGATCTATACAGAAAAGATAAGGAATTATCTTTTAGTGTTGGAATAATATAAAATAATATTCAAGCAGAATTGTTTTATTGAGAAATCAAATGTGAATGAATAAATTAAGAATGAATTCACATGAGCTAAAAAATGTATGTATAAAGATCAGTTAATAAAATATGATTTTCATTAAATAATTAAGAAATCAGTTAATAGATAAATGTACAATATAATAATTTAATTTGATTAATTAATTAATTTACAAGAATTAATTTAAAATTAATTTAAATATATGAATGAAATAAGCTTTTTAGACAAATCATAATTAAATGGGGGGAAAATCAAAGTAAAATCCATTTGCCTTTATAGTATTTATCATAAAATGAACGTATGCAAAACTGTTAATTTAATTATTAAGATCTTCATAAACCTAGGAATAAAAATGAGTTAGCTAAAAAGTAATGAATGTAAAAATGACTGACTGTAAGAATCCCAAGAAAAATTTCCACTTTTTGCCAATTTTTTTTTTTTCATTGGGTAAATAAAAGGATGAATAAATGAATGGATGAATGGAAAGTATTCTTTGGAAGGATGAATTAATAAATAAATGGCAGGAAAGTATTCTTAAGATGAATGAATTGATGAATAAATGGTAGGAAAGTATTCTTAGGATGAATGAATTAATGAATAGATGACAGGAAAGTATTCTGAAGATGAATGAATTAATGGATAAAAGGCAGGAAAGTATTCTTAAGATGAATGAATTAATGAATAAATGACAGGAAAGTATTCTAAGGATGAATGAATTAATGAATAGATGACAGGAAAGTATTCTACGGAATAACCTGGTTACCTCGCTTATACCTCCACGCAACTTCCGGATTTAAAGTAGTTTCTAGGCAGAGTAGGGGTAGCAGGGATAGGGTTAACGGTGCCCTTGAAACAATAAAGTGATCAATAATGTTGCAGATATCCTTTGTTTTTTCCAACTCGAAAAGTGTTTAATTTTGTGAGTTTCTCCATTGCATCTTATAAACAAGAAATGCGCATGTTGCACTTTTGCAGAGAAACCGTAAATGCAAATAAACAGGTTAAAGAAACAAAAACATTAATATCTTATATATACTTGATCAGACAAAGTTTTTAAGGGTACCATAGTAAATCGGGCATTGACATCTTAGCACAGAGGATCATTTGAAATTACGCTTTAAAGGAAACTGTTGACATAACTTCAATCACTTCTAATTTGAAATACGCATCAAAACAGCTTTTCATCAGTTTTATCTGGAAGGCTGTAAAAACATACGAATTTCAGCCATTTTTGGCCATTTGAGTATATCATGATTTTTATCAGAAACATATTATGTGCTATTAAATACGAAAATAGAATATTAAGAACACGCCTCTCAACACCTTAATTACGTATCCGCCCTTTGTCATTTGCTTTTAAAACTTAAGACTTTTATTCAGATGTTTATTAAAGGGACTGTAAGCATAATTTCAAGTGACCCTTCATGCAAAGATGGCAATGCCCGTGCCCAACTAGGTCATAGCGGTACCCCTTAAATATATGCTTTGCCTGATCAAGTATGAATTAGATTTATTTAAACTGTTTCTTTTTCATTTGTGACTTGCGCATTTCTTGATAGTAAGAAACAAGGGAGAAATTCGACGTTTTCTTCCACATTATTGATCGGATAAAGGTTTCAAGGGTTGTAAATCGGACATGGTATCGTTGCAGTGTGGATTGAGGGTCACTTAAAATTACGCTAACAGACCCTTAAAGATTCAGGATTCAGGATTGTATATATATATATATATATAGTATTATTTACATATATATAAAGAAGTAATCTTTGTTGGTCTATTTCTTTGTCCAATCACAACACATGAATCTTTTGACTTCAAATTGGGGAACAAGGTAGAACCACGGGAAGGTTGGTACCACGGTTTTAAGGTTTTACCTTGAGTGGGTTCACTTTTGCAGAAAAAGTTCAGTTTCCAAGCAAAGCTGGGTTTCCACGCTAGTTCAATTAAATTTTTATTTCTTTTAAACACAAGCAGGGTATTGAAATGCAAAAACAGAAAGTAAGACAACCCCCTCCTCCTGCAGTCTATCGAGAGACCTTTTTCTGCAACGTTTTATTTGCATACTGTTCAACAAAGCGCATTGTTTTACTCTGTTTTTGCACGCAAATTTTGAACAAATTAGAATTTCAAAATTTTGAGTTAAAATTTTGAATTATGTTAATTTTTGCAAGATTATCATATATCAAATTTTGAAATGGTTTATTCATTTATTCAAATCTTTGTTTTCAATTTAAGATTTCAAGATCAGCTAAACTTAAATATATTTGAAGTTTTCTATTCAGCCCTCTATCCATTTTGGGTTCCTATTCAGTATTCACCCATTTTGGAAACAGAATTTCATATTTAGTTACTTCTGAATAGAACCATTTACACTGGGATAGATAGATAAAAATTTCTGATAGATAGATAGGTGGATG